TGTGTGTGTCTGTTTGTATATGTATAGTGTATATATGTCTATACATGTATGCATGTTTATGTGAGTTGTGTGTGTCTGTATATGTGTATATATAGTGTATATATGTCTGTATATGTATGCATGCTTATGTGAGTTGTGGGTGTAGGTGTATATGTGTGAGGGCACATGTGCATGTGGAAAACTGAGTTCAACTTCAGATGTCATTCCTTGGGGACTACCTTCCTTTCTTGTAATAGGACCTTAAGCTGCCCTGAAACTTGCTGAATAGGCTAATCTGTAAGGCCAGGGAGTCTCAGGAGCATACTGTCTTTGCTTTCTCTGAGCTGAGATTATAAGCATGTGCTGCTATGCTGTTTATTGTTGTTTGTTCTTAATGTATTCTGGGAATGAAATTCAATCCCTTGTTCTTTCAAGGTAAGCAGTTCATTAACTGAACTATCTCCCTTGCCCTTCTGAATAATTCTAAATACCAGTGAATAGATTAGGATCTTATAAAATTGATGCTCAATATACCTTGAACATATGGGTGATGGATAAATGAATGGGGAATATATAATGTATGATTTCTATTTAGAGATTCTAATTTTAGCTGCAAGCATTATTGTAATCAGTATGACCTACTGTATGTAGTACAAACTGAATATCCCTTCATCAAAATGTTTGGGACCAGAACTATGCCCAGTGTATTTTTAGTGTTTATTCAATATTGGGACATTTCCATAAACTTTATCTGTGTTGTCTTTTTATGTGGTTGCTCCTGTTTTATTTCTGAAGCCATGACCAACAGCAGCAGATGGGAGGAAAGTTTATTTGGCTGACAAGTCCAGGTTACAGTTCATTATTATGGGGGACGTCAAGGCAGGAACTTAAAACATCACATCCACAGTTAATAACAGAGAGAATAAAACAGATCTATGCTCATTTGATCTAAGGTAGCTCATATTCACATTTATTACACACAGAATAAAAGCAGATCCATGCTTGTTTGCTCTCCGACTGTTCTGGACTGCTGCCTAGAGAATTTTACCACTAACTGTGGCCAGGGTCTTTGTGTATAAATTAACAATCCAAATGATTTCCCCAGGACATGCCCACAAACCAACCTGATCTAGATATTTCTCATTAAGACTCTCTGCCTAGGGATTTATAGGTTGCATTAAGTTGACAGTTAAAACCAGCACAGTGGTAAAAATTAAATAACTTTTTTGTCGCTTTCTTTTGAAGTCTGTCTTTGGTGATGAGTAAATTTGGCAGCATGATGGCATTTTTAGATTGAACACTGGCAACAGTGGTTACCAATTTTATAATGACTACTGCCCCTCTGATCTACTGTACATGATTATTGGAAATATTGAGGAAAATAAATATTAAAAGTTTATATCAGCAGTTTCTCCAGCATAGATGATAACATGTTTGATTGTCAGGAGGGGTTGAAGACAAGTATTGTGAAATATATTATTATTAAAGTAAATGATCTTTTCTACTTCTATTTTAAGGAGACAAGCAGAAAAGTTTCTTCTACTCAGGACAAGAGCTGCAGTATATTTATTTCATTTACTCACTGTGCCTTTTAGGAAGATTGTTGATATATACACAAGGCAGAAAACTCTTTCCCATAAAGTTGAAGAATAGAAAAGGTAAGTGCTATTAGAATGAGTGAGTAGGTAAAGGTATGATACGATTTATAGTATACAGGTTCATATTTATAAATTTGGCTTAGTATTGTCGTAGTCACTGTTCTATTGCTGAGAAGAGACACCGTGACCATAGCAACTCTTATACAAGAAAGCATTTAATTGGGGCTTGCTATAGTTCCAGAGGTTTAGTTCATTGTCATCATGGCTGGGAACATGGTGGCATGCAGGCAGACATCATGCTGGAGAAGCATCCAGATAGACAGGCGATAGGAAGAGAGAGACACTCGGCTTGGATCAGGCTTTTAAAAACTCAAAGCCCAGCCCTGGTGACATACTTCCTCCAACATGGCCTCACCCATTCCTACAAGGTCACACCTCCTAATGCTTCTTAAGTAGTGCCATTTCCTGATTAAGCTTTTAAATCTATGAGAATACCACAGTATCTGCTAGGCATCATTAGTTTGCTCTTTATTCCTGTGATTAAATATTGTGATCAAAAACAACTTGAGGAGGACAGACTTTATTTCATCTTATAACTTATAGTCCTCCATGAAGGAAAATCAGAGAAGGAATTCAGTACAGAGACTTGGAGAACACAGTACTGAAACCTAAGCAGAGGCCTTGGAGGAGTGCCACTTCCTGGCTTTGCATCCCTTGGCTTGCTCAGCCTGCTTTCTTATACTCCCCAGGAATACTTGCCAAGGGCTGGTGCTACCCACAGTGGACTGTGCCCTCTCCCATCAATCATCAGACAATAAAATGCCCTATAGGCTTGCCTATAGACAGTTTGATAGAGGCTCTCAGGTTATTCCAGCTTGTATTAAGTCTACAAAGGAAACTCAACTAGCATAGGCTCTTAGCTACATACCTTTTAGTCATATGAACTACTGTTGAGATTTTTTTCTTTCTCTCTTTATTCTTTTCAGTTTCAGTATATGCTTATTACTCTATATGTATTTAATTATTCTCTTATTTCATTTTTCTACAACTCTAGACTAGACGTACTTGGTGATTCAATTCTGAATATGAAACTAGAAGACCGTTTAAAAATTCTGGTTAGCCTAAGAATTGTCTGTGACCTTTCAGGGAAGGGTGGGATCCCTCCTGGGCTGCTGGTCCTGGCTTCTATAAGAAAGCGGACTGAGTGAGCCTCAAGGGTAAACCAGTAAGCAGGCCTCCTCCATGGCCTCTGCATTAGCTCCTGTCTCCAGGTTGCTGCTCGGAGTTTCTACCATGATTTTTTTCAGTGATAGACTTAGGAGCTTTAGGTGAAGTAAACTCTTTCCTCTCCAAGTTGCTTTTGAGTGTGATTTTTTTTTTTGTCTTAGCAACAGAAAATGGAACTAAGCCAGAAATTTGTACTAGGTCATGGGGTGTTGTTGTGACAGGCCTGACCATATTGTTTGGAGGACGATTGTAGACCGACTTTGGAACTTTGGGCTTGCAAAGCCATTGAGTACTCAAAGCTCTGTGGGCATTTAGGATGTTGAGAGCATCACAGGTAGTAGAGGCCTGGCTTGTAACTTTTCAGAGTCCCTTAACAATTCTACCGGGACAGTTTAAGTGGTAGTTTGAATTAAGAATCACTGAAAAGAAACCTTTACTCTGCTGGCCAGCTAGGACTGAAGAATCAGCTGTGATTAGAAGAGAAGAGAATCTGTGAGGCCGAATCTTCTAGGGATGTGCTTCCTCGGGGTCAGCACACAGAAGCTGTGCTCTCGAGGTGCCCAAAGCTGTCCCTTGTGCTGGTAGCGGAACTTGGTAATGAGAAAGAATCCACTGGGTGTTACTGGTTTTTCAAGCGTGATGGGGTCCCAGAGAGCAGCCAAGGTGTGGCATGTGAGAGTGTAATGGAAGTCCGTTGGTGAAGGTGCAGCATTAATTATAGAAGGAGCCCCAGTTGGCGATGACACGGAGAGAAGTTGAGGGGGTAACACCATGTGGCAGGGCCAGAGGCCCGAAAGACAGCCTTGGAGAAGCTATTGATGAAGATGTAGCCCAGCTGCAGGAGAGACTCTGGTATTTTAGAGACTAGTACCTTGGAACTACCTCCAAGGTGGTGGTGGACGAGAAACACTCAGCCTCCAGGACAAGCTGTTTGTGATGTGCATGGCAGAGCTCACCAAATGGAGCCCTTTGGAGTCAGAGGATTGTGACTGGGTCCCATACATCAGACATTAAACTTTTTACACCACCAAATGCTTGTCGTGTTTATATTTGATTATGACTGACCTGAGTCTCCCTTCTTGAAGTAAGAAAATGTGAAACTTATTTTGTCTTTTATAGAAGCCCACAGTTGAGAGACTTGAATTTTTGAGAGGCTTAAGAATTTTACAGATATTTTGGACCTTGTAGAGGGACATCAGATATTTTACAGAGACTGAATATTTTATGATTTTGCATATCTTAAAGACACTAAACTTCTAATGTTTTTGAATTTTTAAACACTGTGGAACCTTTAAAGTTATATTTAAGTTTTGTACTGGGATATTAATATGACAACTTGGGGATTTCTGTCTTAGTTCAGTTTTCTGCTGCTGTGAGAAACACCATGACCAAAAGCCACCTGGGGAGGAAAGGGTTTACTTCACCTTTAAGCTTCTAAATCCATCACTGTTGAAGCCGTGGCAGGAACTCAGGACTGCAACCTGGAGACAGCAGCTGATGCAGAGGGCATGAGGATCATTGCTTACTGACTTGCCCTCATAGCTTGCTCAACCTGCGCTCTTAAGGACCCCAGGATCACCAGCCCAGGGATGACAGCACACAGAATGAGCTTGTCCCTCTTATTTCCACTCTAACTAAGAAAATGCCTTTCAGGCTTGCCTTCAGCCTTATCTTAGGAAGACATTTTCTCAGCCAAGGTTCCGTCCTCTGAAGTTTTTTTCTAGCTTGTGACAAGGTGACACAAAACAGCCAGCACATAGGATGATGCCGGGGAGAGCATCATATCATGTATTACTATACTGTTTTTACTCTGTCTCATTTAATTTAACAAATTTGAGATCACTTATCATCTTTTATTTTCCACAGATATTTTATCTGTACTAAGAATGCATTATAGAGCAGAGTTCAGCACAGTTTCTGGAAACTGACAGTTAATATGGCCTTGTTGGATAATATAGAATGTTAACGTAGCAGTCCTGAGACTGCTTTCCTTAGAGTGGCTTGTTTGCAAGCTTGACTCTTGGTTGGCATATGGGGAGTTGAACTCCTGCTATTATAGCACTGATGAGGGTACTTAACCTGTGTGCCTGCTACCCCCTGTGCCTAAACTGTACAACATTGCCATTTATGTCAAACACCAGGTTTGTTTTTGGGAGTTTAAAATTTAGACATGTACTGGACAGAGGGTGTGTCTTGCTCACAACCCCACAAGAAGAACTTGGTTACTGCATCTCTAGTGGGCGTTTCTAGAGGAACTGAATGCATTCTGCATGGATCCCCTGGGAGAGGCCCTCAGTAACTGGTACCTGATTAGCTCTGGGTTTTGCCTTCAGTAACCTTTCTTTTTGATTTTGCTTTGCATAGTTTTATTATAATGTGTCATGTGAACATGATTGTATGAGGCCTGTGGGTCTTCCAACTCAATCAAATCAGAACGTGGTTTTCAGGACCCCTGACACTGTTTAATAACAGAAAATCCATTCTTAGCTTGTCAGCCTTACAAAATCTGGTCGTACGAACTGTAGTTTATTGATGCTGTTACAGAGTCTATTTGTTGTGGACCCTCTTGTCTAGCTGTTTTATTTGCCCTAATCTATTTGAACTCCTTGAGAACTGACAGGGCATTATGTACTTCTCTTACAATGTTCAAGGCTGTGTCGTATAGTTTAAGACAGTGTGGGGACATCATAGGCTCTTCAGTGACAGAGGTACTATTTTATATGATATTGCTGGATGTTGCATAACTAGAAAGACCAGTGAATATCCTTGATATTTTTGCAGGTATTCATCTTAACTTTACATGCCTCTCATCTATAATAAATTTAGCATTTTATATTCTTTATAACGACTGTATTTTGCTCTATCTAGAATCACAGCTCATTTCAAAATTGAATTTGAGAATAACAGAGAACTGCAATCAACTTTAAATTACATAGTGTTTTTTCTTCCCAGAATGTTTTAATGAAAGCTTCTACAGCAAGTCTTGGTAAACTGTAGCCTGCGGGCCAAACCTGGCCTGCCATCTGCTTTGTGTTCTTGTGAGCTAGGAATGTCTTTTAACTCTTAAGAAAGAGACTGTTTTGTGACATGTGTAAAACATGAGTGGCCAGTCCTCACGGTTCTCACTCAATACTTAATTGCTGATTGTATATGGCTACCTCATGCTCCCGTAGCCAACCCGAGTGCTTGTGATGATTTGGACAGAAGGCTTAAGTTACTGTAGTCTTTCATGGAAAAAAAATGCTGACCTTGTTCTACTATGCTAAAAAAGCTAGCCGATCCAACATAGTAAGCTGAATTTTACTTGTGATAATTGATTTAACTCAAATAGCCATGCTAAGACTTGTGCATCTGTTGTGGATTTAAATGATCAGCTTCAAACAGATGGTGGAACTATGCCTTAGCATATCAAGACAGTTGGCGTGGGATCTGCCTTCTAATGGCGTTCTGTTCTGGAGTAGTGGGTCTTGGGTCACACAGCTCTCTTCTTAATGGGCTTACACAGAAACTGTGATGCAATCTTACAAGTGAGTAGAATGTAGATAAATGGTTTTTTAGCTTGTAAGAATGTTACAAATTACTTCTTTTTTTCTTTTGTAAAGATTCAGTATCTCTCAAAAATCTGCTGGTTTTGTTTACTCAACTCATCTATTATTCACCAAGTTGTCCAAAGATGACATCAGTTGCATATTCAGGTAAATGCCCCCTTCCTAAATTGATTGGTTGATTGATTAACTGTGGTACTGGAAACTCAACTCATGGTGCATCTCTTTTAAATGGAGGAAAAGAAATTAAACATTTGAGCATTCTCTTGTCTTGATGCTCTGAGTTATTTAGTAATAAACATCTGAGTGCTTTGAGATACTTATCTATTTTGGTAAATAAGTTATTTATTTATTTAATTCTTTTTACTGAGTTATACGTTTTTCTCTGTTCCCCTCTCTTCCTCCCCTCTCCTCTTTTATCCTCTCCTGTAACCCCTATGCTCCAAATTTACTCAGGAGATCTTGAAAAAAAAAAAAAGGTAAATAGGTTTCATTAAAACTCTGCGTTACTTGTAAGACATAACATTGGTTCCTAAGTAAGCCATGAAATTCAATTTTGTTCATAGATGTTTAAAGACATCTCTAATCTGTTAATGTTTTACTTTAGAGTCAGTTTGGCTGAGAATTTTAATGTTTTCTTAATGTCAAGATTCTCAAGTCTTATCAAGAGAAATTTGATTGATTGATGTGTTTCCATTTGATTATTTTCTGCCCTTTGCTCTTTCTAGAGTATTTTGTTCGGCTTGTTTGTTTTTGGTTTGTCTTAGTTATGGTTGCTATTTCTGTGATGAAATACCACGATCAAAGCAACTTGTGGAGGGAAGGGTTTATTTGGCTTACATTTCCATATCATTGTTCATCATCACAGGGAGTCAGGGCAGAAACCAGGAAGCAGGAGGCCATGGAAGGGTGCTCCTTATTGGCTTGTTCAGCCTGCTTTCTTACAGAACCCAGAACCACCTGCTCAGTGGTGGCCCCACCCACAAAGGCGTGGGTCTTTCCACATTAGGCAAGTTAGAAAATGCTTCACAGTCCTGCCGATAGCCTGATCTTTTTGAGGCATTTTTCCAATTGAGATGCCCTCTTCTCAATTAACTCTACCTTGTGTCAACTTGATATAAAGCCAGCCTGCACAACCGACCCCTTGTCTACTTGACACACAAACATATCACTTTTAAGGCACAACCTTTTCTTTCTCATACATCCCTAAGATCTCACACTAGTAGGAACATCTCAATATCCCAAAATTTAAAAGTCCCAGAGTTTTTAAAAATTCAAGCATATCAAAATTCAGTCTCTTTCCTCACCAGCTGCAGTACTTGGGGGAGTGGCCTCTCCACCTTGCCTGGGCAACACTGTAGAGCTAGCCATACATATGTGTGTGTGTGTGTGTGTGTGTGTGTATGTGTGTGTGAAAGCCAATCCTGAGAAAGTGAAAGCAGAAGTGGCCCTGCCCCTTGCTCATAGAGTCAAGGGATGAACTAGCAAGGGCAGTACTGGAGAACTCACCCTGGTGTTGAAGACAGGAGAGCTTGCAGGCTGATCAGCCCTACAACTTCCTAGGCCCAGATCCAGGGTTATGAGTTGGCCCACGCCAAAATCCACCTGATTTGTGAGCTGCTGGGGCACATGAAAGGTCTTGTCCTGCAGACCTGAAGATGTAAGATCTCCGCCACACATGGCAGGAATAGAATATCCAAGAGCAGTTCCAGTGAGGGCCTAGCATCAATAGTGTAGCAGAAACCAGAGGCCTTGAACCAGACCACTGACTCCTTGCAATGTACACTTGCACATAAAATCTATGGATAAAAGAGTTTACTGCATGACTCACTATGACACATTATAACTTCCATGATGAGATTTTTTTCTTTTCTCTTAAATTTTATTTTATTTTTGTTTCGGGGTGGGGAAGTTGAAAGGGCAAAGGGTGAATATGAAGGAACAGGAAATGAATGAGATTGAGATGTGGTGTAGGAGTTCCTTCTGTCTTTGTGTGTTGCTTTCATTGGTTGAATAAAGAGACTGCCTTGGCCTTTTGATAGGGCAGCTCTTAGGTGGGCGGAGTAGGCAGAACAGAATGCTGGGAAGAGGGAATTGTGGCAGATGCCATGCTTCTCCTGCCCAAGACGGACATGGCCGGTAGGTCATAAACTCATGGTGAACACAGATTTAATAGAAATGGGTTAGTCAAGATGTGAGAGTTAGCTAGTAAGAGGCTAGAAATAATGGGCCAGGCAGTGTTTAAATAAATACAGTTCCTGTGTAATTATTTTGGGTGTAATCTAGCCGGGTGGCAGGAAGCAGGCCCGCTCCTCCATACATAGGAGATACCTGATGTGAAAGACACATAGAATAAATAAGAAAGTTTAAAAAATTTTTAAAAATTCAGTCTCTTTAAAACATTCTTAAAATCCAAAATCTTTTAAACTTTAGAGTCTCCCAACTATGGGCTCCTTTCAAATCAAAAATAAATAAAATACTTTACGGCAAAATCATATGGTTCAAATCTAAATTTTAGTTGTTTTCATGATTTTCTTTTGCTAAGTGTAAAGAAAAAAAAGTCCTTTATGTTTTATTGTAAATTGCCATTTGTTCTTACATTTGTTAACCAGCTTATAAAATTGTTTCATATTATTGCCATTTAAAACTTCTGCATTTTTTGTATAGCAATAAAAATCTCCAAAGTGAAAGACAATATCTGAAATAGAAATATAGACCATAGTCTTCTAAAATTGGGAAATAGCTTGGAAATGCTAGAACATATTCTGAGAGGAACTGGAATCAGTAAGAGAAGAAGTGGAGTGGGTTACATATTAGTATAGAAGTACCAGCTAGTCGGTATTTTCTGTGTGGTTATTCTGTATTGCTCTTAACTGGGATTCCAAGACCCTCTCTGTCTTTACAGCATTTACACAAATGGTGTACTAGTTTAAGACTCCTGCTGTATTTTTCTAGAGCATTTCTCTTAGTGAAAATGACCTTTACTTATTAAAAATAATCAATATTTGGGCTTACTGTCTAGTCGACTGTCTCTATTTTTCTCCTCAGGCTGCAGTGCTCTGTGTGTTGTACAGTAGGTGTTTGCCTGATCGTGTGAGTGGCCAAGTGCTCTTTGATAGTGTTTGTCACCGGAGACAGGGTTTCTCATCTGGAACTGACTCAAAAATCACTAACATCTTTCTTTTTTGGTTAGGTTTGAATTCAAAGTTAACATGCTTATGGATTGAAGACTACTGTAACCTGAATTTAAAAACCTTAGTAGTTTTGTACTCTTTTTTTTTTTAAACAAAAAAACAAATTAAAAGACACCCATGTTTAATAGATTGCCCTACTCCTGGGTGGCCCCAGGAAAACATGGCGAGGGGAAGAGAGAGAAAGGGAGACCACGCAAAACCCAGAGACCATGTGTTCATTCTCTGTGGGGCAGTTTAAATAGCCTGTGGGAGTGATCAGACCTTCCCTGGGGAGGGGTTTCTGTTTGGCAGGCTTTCTTGACCCTTCCTGGGGAGGGGTCACCATTTGGTGGGCTTTTTCAGAGGTGGAGTTTGGACTAAGGCAACTCCCAGGGGAGGGGGCTTATGACAGGAGCTGGGGTGAAGCCCCTTAGCCACACAATGCAGACTTTTTCTATAAAGGGTGTTAGGGAACTGAGGTGATGCTTTTGACCAAACATTCCAGATTGTTTGGATAAAGGGGTGCTAGCTAGCTGAGGTAAAGCTCCCCAATCAAGCATTTTAGACTCCCTGGATAAAGGGCGCTCATATCACATTCGCTTGAGGAGGGTAGATTAGCTATCTAAAACTAAAACATCACATTTATTTAAGTGGCCATTCCAACCATGTTACAAAAGTGCTTACAGCCGGGTGGTGGCGGTGCATGCTTTTAATCCCAGCATTCGGGAGACAGAGGCAGGAGGATCTTTGTGAGTTCGAGGCCTGTGGGAGAATTGTCTGTATTCTGTCAATCATGTCTTAAATAAATGCTGATTGGCCAGGCAGGAGGTGTAGATGGGAAACCCAGACAGGAAGTGGAAATGATGCAAGGAGAGCAGGAGAATTCTGGGAAGGAGGAAGCTGATTCCCCCACTCCTGCCCAGGTCACTGAAGCAGCAGGATGTGAGCTGCCCCGCTGAAAAAGGTACTGAGCCACATGGCTAACATAGATCAGAAAAATGGGTTAATCAAGATGTGAGAGTTAGCTAATAAGTAGCCTGACCTAAAGGGCCAATTAGCTTTATAACTTATAGAGATCTCAGTGTGATTTTTCTTTGGGACTAAACAGCTGGGGGGCAGGGCAGGACAGAAACACAACAAGCAGGCCCGGCCTTCTCATGTTACAGAGGCCAACCTGGTCTACAACTCACTAGTTCCAGGACAGGCTCCAAACTACAAAGAAACCTTGTCTTGAAAAACAAAACAAAACAAAACAAAACAATCCAAAAAACAAAAAACAAACAAACAAAAAGTGTTTACACCTTTGGCTTTCTAACTCTTGTTCTAAAGGATTGCCTTAGGAACGCCCCAGTTCTCCCTGCCTTTTGGAATAGCAGTGTGTCGCCTTCTGGAAGTGTCAGTTCTTGTGTTCCTTCCTTTTGCTCAGAGTTTTATCTAAATGCTTCATTTAGCTTTTGCTCAGCTCATACACCTGAGTTCAGCCAGAATGTGAACAAAGTGAACATAATGAACTTGTGTTCTAGGAGGGAAAATTTGAGTCTTTCAACTTTATCTTCTGTATCTAGGCTTCATTTGGTGTCTGACTGAAAAATGGTATACAATATACCATTTTTTTGTCATTTTTTTTATTAGCTTGTAGAGACAGTAAGCTGATGGAGATAAGAAGTTTCAGGTTCTAATTCTCATGTTAGGGCTTTAGTTGTGTGATTCCTTGGACACTTGGTGGAGCACGAAATAGTGCACAGTGAAAAACCCCACTGAGCCATGTCCTGACTCTGACCTTCTTTCTGTTTCTCAGAGAACTACTCTCCGGCAAGTATGGTGACTGACGTCCTGCAGATCCTCTGCGACCAGAAAGAATGTGCCGTGGAGTGCTTGTACAACAGCACCGTGACAGAGACGCTCCTCCAGCCCATTCATAACCTGATGAAAGGAACCGCGGTGGGTGTCGCCAGAGAGGAGAGGAGCCTCTTCACTGGCCAATATTCAATGGATCTTTATTTCTGACATGACTGAGATATTTTCTTTTCAATAGTTCTTACATGAATCTTTTTGCTGTATGGATCATTGTTAAATCATAGTTTATGCAGGGATTTGATGCATTAGTTATGACAGGAGGCAGGAATGCACATACACATACTACATTTTATTTTTGTGTTTTATCAAACTTAGGTCTGCTGGTGTGAAAAACTTAGAAAAAATTTATTCTATTAAGAAGCCATTTGTCTTGTGAATGCAATAAATCTTGTTAATGTCTTATGCATTTTAATGACAGTTTTATTGCTTGTGGAAATACAACTGTTGTCCTGAAGAGCCAACTCTGCCACGTAGAAAGAACTAGTGTAAGAAAAAAAGCATGTGCAGCCCCTGAATTGATCAGCCATGCTGTCTTCCCAGTTCACACAGTGTGATCTCAGAGCTGAACCTCCATGCTGTCTTCCCAGTTCACACAGTGTGATCTCAGAGCTGAACCTCCATGCTGTCTTCCCAGTTCACACAGTGTGATCTCAGAGCTGAACCTCCATGCTGTCTTCCAGTTCACACAGTGTGCCTCCTTGTGCTAGAGAATTTCCCCAGAGTGTAAGCTAAGGTCGAGGGAAGTGATCTGACACCCAACACCTGGTGAAACTGCTGTCCTCACCAGGATGGCCGTGTGTCCAATACAGTCGTCCACTTCTCTGACTTAAACTTCTTGTCGGTGACTGTAGAGTGCACAAGAAGGTTCATGTTTATTACCTGCTTTTTTATTATTTTTTTAAATTTATTTATTCATTTATTAAAAATTTCCACCTCCTCCCCGTCTCCCTTTTCCCTCCCCCTCCCCACCTCCTCCTCCCTCTCTAGTCCTAAGAGCAGTCAGGTTTCCATGCTTTGTAGCATTTTTATCACCTCTCCTCCCTCCTGGGTCACACGTTGTTGACTGCTGCTTGCTGTAAAATGTCACTGTTTTAAACTTTGTGTTAACCAAATTTTCTAAACAAGCTTATGTATTCTTACTTTGTTTTTTAAGTCCCCCTTCCTCAATGAATCCTGCCCCACATGGAAACATCCCTCCTGTGCAGACTAAGGTGTTTTTTCTTTTTATTGTATTCTTGTGCTGCGTCCTTCTGCAGTTGTCCTTGTATTTGAATTATTATTTGCAGTTTTTGGTATTGCACTTATCTATTTGGGAAGGCATGCACATGCTGTGGTGTACATGTAGAGATCATGTGATCACTTGTCCAATTCTTTTTTTCTTTTTCCATCATGTGGGACTTAGAGATTGACCTTAGGTCATCAGACTTGATGGCAAATGTTCTTACCCTCTATACCATCTTGCTGGCTTTGAATCGTCCTTCTTGAGTATAGACTAGTTTACTGATACACGGTACATATCTATCTAGTACCTAATTTAAGATATCCAGCATAATCTATTGAGCCACTGGTCTGACAGTGCTGTTCTGGATATTACTAATCCAGAAAATAGTTAAGTATATTTTTGTAAAGGGAGACTGTGCTTTCGTTTTCTGGGCACCCTGATCTGAATAATCACACAAAAACAATATTAATTACAACACTGTTTGGACATTGGCTCAGAAATATTCCTAGCTAGCTCTTACATCTTAAATTAACCCAAGTCTATTAATCTGTGTATCTCCATGAAGCTGCGGTTTCCTTCTCCTTTGGAAGCTACATAGAGTTTCCCTGACTCTGCCTTTTTTTCCCCTCTGTCTCTGCTTGGATTTCCCACCTTGCTATTTTCTGCCCTGCCATAGGTCAAAGCAGCTTATTTATTAAACAATGGTAATAAATCATATTCATAGTACACAGAAGGGAATTCCATATTGTCTCCCCTTTTCTGTTAAATAAAAGGAAGGTTTTTACTTTAACGTAGTAAAGTTACATATACAGAACAGTTACTTGCTATTGCCTGTAAGAAGGTTACTCTGATCACTCTCTGTGCAGCAAATATTTAGCATGAGCAACAGAAAGTTCTATAGGAAAGCTGTGTGTCTGACCGAATGTTTGGGTACAAATAGAACTTTAATATGTGAGAGACATAACACATTCTAGATAGAAGTTTCAAGAAAAGTGGTTTATATGAAAATAGATTATGTATGAAAATTGTGAGATAATCATGTGTGTATCTACATCTTTATATTTTCTGTGTAGATTTGTACAAGCAGAACATATATACACAAACACATATACATATATACATACAGACATAGGTATATGTATAAACACACACATATATACATAGGTACATGCATACACAGGTGTATACCAACACACACATATAATTTTTTCTTGGGAGAGGGTCTCTGTGTATAGTCTAGGCTGACTTCAGACTCTCAGTCTTCCTGCCTCATTTAGCCTTATGAGTGCTGGAATTTCTGTAGACATGTGTACTTATTTTTCTTTCTTATTGCTGTTACAAAACAACTCAAGAAGATAATGTAAAAGAGAAAGGGATAGACATCTGATATCTAATTTCAGATATCTAGAGTCATGTAGTGACACTGGTGCTCTACACTGGGTATTATAAAAGAACAAGGCATGCTTATTTTAGCTCCTAATACAAGAGGCAGTCCATCAGTAGGAACATAGAAGCTGTTCGCATTGTATCCACAGTTAAGAAACAGAGACTAATACATACTGCACTCAGCAGCTTCTCTACACTTCCAGAACTCGAACCAGGGAATGACACCCTCGCAGTGCACGGATCACCAACTACCAACCAGTTAACGTAATGAGGAGAATCACTGCAGGTGTCTCGAGGCCTGGTACCTCTCCGTTCTTTCACGTTCACAACAGTAATCATCATCCTCATCAACACTCACACACACACACATGCGCATGCACACACACACACACACACACACACACACATGCGCATGCACATGCACACACACACACACACACACATGCGCATGCACACACACGTATGCACACAGTGAATATAATTTCTATGTGTGTGGTGTGCAGGCATGTATGGGAAGATATGCATGCCTGTGTGTGACTTGGGGAGCACTGAGCACTTTATGTGTCCTTCTAGTCCTCTTTTCATGTTATTCCCTTGAGACAGGTTCTCTGCTGGAACCGGGAACTACCTAGGAAGCCTGAGCATTCTCCCGTCACTTCCTGAGTCACAGACATGTACAGCCATGCCTAGTTTTAAATGTGGGTCTTGGGTACTGGAATTCAGGTCCACATGTTTCGTTAGCAGGTACTCTTACCCACTGAACCATCTTTTAGTCCCCACCATATATAATTATCGGGGACTATACCTGACTCATATTCATTAGTGGAATTCATGAAATTTTTAATATTGTATTAGTTGTAAGATTTATATTTTAAAATGCAGAGAATATGGACATTAGTATCCATGCAGGCAGAAAGCAATAAGTAGACTCTGAAAATAACAGGAGTTTCTGTAAGTTGACTTCAGCATTAACAGGTTTCAATATTTTCTTTATGTTATTATATAGTGGCTAAGATGTATTAACAATTCCATTTAAAGTGAGCAGATATGAGTGATCAACTTTGTTGTCCACGCGGTTGATATTATTGACTATCGGAAAGCTCATGAACTGGCTATCTCTGGTCAATCTTTGCCCAGTTAGGTAAATAAGGGGATGGTACTGATATAAACAATCTAGTGTATTAGATACCATATATCGTATATCATGATGAACTTGCAGAAATATGGTACCTGAAAAGTACAAGACATTGCAGATAGGGAGGAAGCTACAGCATTTTCTATCCAGAATTATACATGAAGCTGTAATACAGACAATGATTCTCAATAACTGGCTTAGGTGAAAATCTTGGATTTATTTGCTCATCAACTCTGCTGGTGAAAGAATATAATCTAATGACACATTTAACTCAGACATATTATTTCACTAGCAGAAGTCCTTAAGGTCTCTGTTGTTGTTGTAGCCATATAATTTTATTATACTACGCTCCACCCCTGCGGCATCATAAAATTATATGATTTGTCTTGTCATTTTTTAAAAATGTGCAGGCTGCTCCAGATTGCTCTGAAACAGCTTTAATTCACATAGCGGATATTTTGGCAAGAATTGCTTCTGTAGAAGAAGGACTTATGTTGCTTCTTTATGGAGAAAACATGAACTCTTCTGAAGAAGAAAGGTGCGTGGACATTTAGCTGGTGTAACTATTTGGGGGTGGATAGGTTTCCCAAGCAGGTACTAGGGACACATTAAGCCATCGTTGATGTAATCTCTTAAAATATTTATTGTTTTTACATATATATGTGTATGCCTGCACAAGTTTATTTGCACCATGTGCTTACAAAGCTCCCCTGGAGGGTAGAAGAGGGTGTGGAATTCCTGAAAGTGGTGTTATTACTTAATTCCAAAGATTACTGTATAATCTTAGTTTGCAGTAAGGGTAGGGAGCGTCACTCCAGATAGGAGCCCACACCTTCTCACTTGCTCCCCTAGACCCTCTGACAAACTACTGAAACCACAGGAGTTGCTTTCAGTCAAACAGATTGAGGAGAAGCCACACCCCCTTTCCTCCTCTGCTGTCACCCAGTCCTAGCTCCTCTTTTGCAGTGCTATAGTCTTGGGGCATTTAGGCTTCTAGGCTTTCTCTGTACTTCTGATGACACGATACTTGGGCAATCCTGTGAAACTGTAAATGTGTCTACTCTGGTTTATAAAATGGCATCATGTACTTTACCCTAAATCTCAGTCCTTAAATACAACATGGACATTTTCTTGGGTGAATACAGGATGTAACATCATTTTATTGTAGCATTATATTCTTACTTAGTTTATTGTAATTTATTCAGATTCCCCTCTCCCCTTAACACCAGGCTCTGCCTCAGATTGTACCTCCTCAAATGGCACTGTAATGAACAGTCTTTAGCCTGTTGCTAAGATGAATTATGTTAATTGTTTTTAGGAGAATTGGGCTTTAAAATACTTATTTATTTTGTATATGAGAGCTCTATTTGCATGTCTGCCTACATGACAGAAGAGGGCATCAGATTCTGTTATAGATGGCTATGAACCACCATGTGGTTGCTAGGAATTAAACTTAGGACCTCTGGAAGAGCAGCCGGTGCTGTTAGCCACTGATCCATCTCTCCAGCCCTGATATTAATTGTTTTCTAAGTGCCAAGCAGCCTTATTCAGGGAGTAAGTTACACTTGGTTATGAGTATTCGTCTTCACCATTCAGGCTTTGAGTTTCTCAAGGTTACAGATATCTCTGCAATGCTGACAGATGATATCAACTGCTGAACCCAGAATATCCTTGGTTTTGTTTTTTGATATTTACTACATGCTGGTTTCATGAGTTAGAAATGATTTCTCCTGTTTCTGTCTTCTGAAAGAAATTGTGGAGACTGTTGTAATTTCTATAAATATTTGGCAGAATCCATTTGTGAGACAATGAGTACCTGGTGTTATCTAATTCTTTTAATTGCTTAATTTTTTTATTAGATATACAGACCTGTTCAGAGTTATTTCCTATGGTATGAAACTTAACAGGTTGTATATTTCAGAGAAGTGAAGTTACTTATTTATTTTAGAGTTGCCAATAATATGCTCTGGCTATCTTGTTATTGCTGGCCTACCAGTAGTGAAAAATCTCTGTTCTTGTTCTGAAGTTAATTATTTTAACTTCACTGTTATTATTATTATTATTATGCTAATTGGAAACTTAACAATTTTGTGGCTTTTTCCAGAAAATCAATTCTTGATCTTGTTGATTGTATGTGCATATTTGCATGTGTGTGGTATGTGTGCACATACATGTATTCACAGGCATACACATACTATGATATATGTGTAGGTATCAAAGGACAACATTGTGGAGTTTATTTTGTTCTTATACATCGATATAGGTTTTGGGGGGATCAAACTCAGGTCATTGGATACTTTTACCTGCTGAGGAGTCTTGTTGGCTTGTGTGTGTGTGTGTGTGTGTGTGTGTGTGTGTGTGTGTGTGTGTGCTACAAGCAGAACATCTTATTCCTGTTGGAGTACAGTAAATTTGTTCACTTCCATGGATAATGAAATTGTCATCTCATACTTTCTCATTTCCCTCCAGTTTTTCTTTATTTGTTGCTTTGGTTTCTTTTATTACTCCTTAGATGTTGGTAACACTTACAAGGGCAGTTCTCACTTGCGGTCTTTATATTGTGTAGAAAATGCCATGACATTTTTCTGGGAAAGCCCTAATGAAGCCTCTTGCAGTTACCTGCCTGAAAAACCTCTCAACAGGAGACTGAGTGGAAGCTGTGCTGGATCTCAAACATCAGTGTATCAGTGTCCTCTTGATTTGATCTTCCCTTTTTTTCTCCTTTCCTCACCTTCCCTCCCCTCTCCTTCCCTCCCCTCCCCTCCCCTTGCCTCTCCTCCCTACTCTCTCCCTTCCCCTTCATTTACCCTTCCCCCTTTCCCTTCCCTTTCCCCTCCCTTCTCCTCTTCCCTCCCCTCCTCTTCCTCCCTCCCCTTCCTCCTCCTTCCTCCCTCCCCCCTCTCTCTGTCTCTCTCTCTCCTTCTGTCTCTCTCTCTCTGTCTCTCTCTCTCTTTTTCTCTTTAGAGACAGGGTTTCCTTGTGTATCCTTGGCCATCCTAGAATTAGGTCTATAGACCAGGCTGGCCTCGGAGATCGGGAGAGCTGCCTGGCTCTACCTCCTGGGTGCTGGGACTGAAGGTGTGCACCACCTCCCCCAGGTGCTCAGGGCCTGTCTCTTGATCTCTCTGCCTTCTGAGAAGTGCCTGGGCTAGCTGCATGCAGTTTTAAGTGGAATCTGGAGAGCAGAGTTTTCCTTAAATTTACTTTCAGGTAGCTCTTACTCGCAGTCCTGGTTTTTGTTCTCAGCTGCAGAGTTATTTAAGTTGTCAGCTATTGTTGTTGTTGTCTTTCCCCAATGCTCTACAAGTTAATCAGATGATTTCTGGCTTTTGTGCTGTGGCTGGTGACCATTGTTTTCTAGGTTCTGGTTTACACGGCTCTTCTGTATTCTAGGATCCAAAATTCTCCCATTGTCCGTTAGTTTCTTTGTCCTTGAGAGTTTCTTTGCATTTAAAAAATATTTTTACTTACGCATTTTAGTCTTTATGGAGGGAGCATATAGATGTTATACATTCAGTTTGACATTTTTACCTGGAGATGTTAAGTATATAATGATTTTTTTTTAATTAGGAAGATTTATCTTTTGTCATGAATTCTAAGACCCCCTTATGTATTATTTAATCCTTTGGAAATTTATTTTTTTCATTTTTTTAAAAATAAGACCTTACTAATAACACAAGCCAACCTTGCACTGTGATTCTTCCAGTTAGTCAGTTCTAACTCTATGTGAGTTCATTAAATTGCATGGACTTTGAGTTTGCTTAATTTTGTTGTGTGACTTTTATTAATTTGTAAGTTTTTATTAAAAAGTTTATAAAATTAAAAAAATAAAGTTACTTCCTAGAAAAATTTTAAAAAATGAGTGCTACTATGCCTGGCATTAATAATTTAAAAATTAATAAGTTTTTATGTTTCTATATGAATATTAATAATATTTCTAGATGAAATCAGGGTTCTGCCAGTCACATGTGATGTATATGTGGGTTTATTTTCCAAGAAAGTTTTTTTTCACATTGAAGCTGAACAAACAAGATGTTAATTACCAGAAGTGCCTTCCAAATCATCATTGTGTAAAGTTTGTACCAATTGTTTTCTTAGGGAAAATACTAGAAACTTTGCAAGTGCAATTAACAAGAGTCTGGCTCATTAAACTTTGTTTTTCACAGTGGAGCAGTGAGCAGCTAGCTAGCTGTAAAAGGGAATTAGGGGACCAGAAAATGACTTAGCAGGGAAACAAGCCACCTGCCAAGCCTCATGACCAATGTTTAATTCCTGGGACTCACATGGCAGAACCAGAGAGCTGATTCCTGCAATTGTGCTCTGATCTCCAGGTTGTCCTGTGGCTGTTACACACACACACACACACACATACACACACACACACACACACACACACACACGAAATTAGGAATATTTTTATGAAGTGCTTTGGCATTAGCTCTATGATGAAGATGTATGATTATAGAATCCTGCCTTTTGTATAACAGGACAGTTGGGTCATCCATTTGCTTATTGCTTAGGAGGAAATTATTAATGACAGACTGAAAGGCAAGGAAAACAGTTCTAGGGAACAGAAGAGACGAGCAGAGCATATATGGAGACACGATCAGTACATTAGTACATTGCTCAGGTCATACTTAGATTTTACTTTACAATTAAGTAGCTGCATTAGGCTTCAAATGTTAAACAAATTCAAAAGAAAGAACTCACAACTTTTAAAACCTACAAAGCAAGCGAGTAAGTAAACTTAACAGTCACATTAGTGACAAACTCATTTCATCTAGTAACCCCATTATCGTTGAACGTGTAGAGAGGGATGTAATGGAAATAATCTTCAGTGCCAGCTGCATTTGGTATGTTTAGAAGCTGTATTAGTGTTATTTTGAAATTGTTATGGATAATAAGTGGATATGTAATGACATTGGGAACTATTTTTTTAGTGTTAGATATAAAAAGCATAAAATTAAAGAAACAAGTAAAATCTTGACTATTTAATTCATAATGGAAATGCATTTATACCTTGACTAATTCATAATGGAAATGCATTTATGAACTTACTTTTTCTTCTAAAAAGCTTCATCTTTTCAGATCACCACCATAGAACAGGCCTAGAAGGAATGGTATTACTGACAGTGAACAGTCACCTGCATTGTGGTATCTCTGTTTCCTGTTCTTTTTGCTAAGAGGAGACAGGAAGCCTTGAAGAAATGACTGTTTCTAGGTCAGGGATAAGAAATGTACAGAATCACCCTTGCATGGTTTTGTTTCCAGAAGTCAAGGTAGTGATTTAAAGCTAGCAGGATGGGACCACAAGTACCCTGAGGGAAATTCTGCTGTCTTTAAGATGTGCAACTTGAGGCTCAAAAATAATGGGTGCAATAGGGTGAAATATATTAGCTCTATAAACATGGATTTTTAAAAATTTAAAAATAGTAAAAATAAAGCAAAATGGGCTGAATAGTTTCTTAAGGAGTCTGCTAAGACGCCAAATGTATTTATTACTTTGCAAATTGATAAAGGTTAGAATATTTTTCCAACTTTACACACTGTATTTTTTTTTTTTTACACACTGTATTTTAAAGAGTTGTGCAGAAAAAATTCTTCGCGGAAGAAGTCTAGTTTAGTAAATGCAAACAAAATTCTTAAAGAAGAAAAGATGCATGTGGTATTTCTTCATAAAATCTTGGTAGTCATAATAGTTGCTAAAGTCATCAAGTGTAAAGCTTTTCTTGCTAGAAATGCTATCCTGGTGCTATCTGCCAAGCTAATTTTTAGTATCACCAAAATTGGACCACCAGGTTAGTGTTGAATTCATGCAGGAGGCACACAACACTAACAAAGTTGTTTTACCAAGGAAGAGAGAAATAGAGAGAACCAAACTTTAAACCTCTAGATGTAATTATTATCTTGTAGAACATTTGGGGAAATAGGAAGTGGGGTTGAAGATACTATGGGAAAACAGTCATTTAAATATAAAATCATTGAATCATTGACCCAGAGAAAAAGGATACAGGGGATTTGAATCACCCTGTACAGCCTATAGGACTTGTATGAAATGTCCTTTACACAATCCTGTCTAGACGTAATGATGTATTTAAGAGAATGCAGAGAAGTTTGAGGTGGGATGTCTTACTAAAAATTATTATGTGAGTATATTACATTTAAAATAGGAATCTTGTTATTTAGAGATGTGCACTGGGGTCCATATCCAAGACAAGGATGGTAAAATGTTTGTAATGCTGCTGGAGAAAAGTAACTGGAGACTTTAGTGTTCGCTGAGTCTAAGGCTTATTGCCTCTGATTTGAATTCACTGTTTTAAACATCTAGAAAAAGTAGTAACACTGCTTTTCTCTGCAGTTAGACATACTAGGTTACCTTGTTTCTTTCTCAAATATTAGCTGTGTGGTACTGTGCAAGTTATTTCTGTAATCTGTACATATAATACCTGTTGCTGTAAGCTTCTACTTCAAAGGACTATGGGAAAAACTATTTGAGGACATTAAAATACCTACAACAGTAGGTTTTACATTGGAAGCATTTGTCTGCGCTATTATTATTGCCAGGAAAACAATCTCAAATTTCTAGATAGGGTGACTGTGTTGTGATGGGGAAGGTAGCAACATAAGACTCGCTCACTGGAAAATCAAGAGCACTCATGTATGACCCTGACCACATGGCATCTGTGTCTCTTAAGTGTCTGTAGATTTGGCTGTTTCCCCCTATCTAACTACCCTTTCCCATGTTCCACTGAAACGGTCATGCCCGTGTTGGATGAGGCATACTGACTTGTTTATGAAAGCTATGAGCTATCTAAAGAGAACTAGCCAAGGAGTTGTGTCGAAACGGGCTGTTTTGCTGGTGCTGCATGAAGCCAGACCTGCTTGGCCTTGGAATCTCATCTGTGATCTCTTTTCAGTCCTACAGGTGCTCATATAATAGCCAAGTTTTCAAAGAAACTTCTTGATGAAGACATTTCTATTTTCTCTGGATCAGAAATGTTGCCAGTAGTTAAAGGAGCTTTTATTTCTGTGTGTCGTCAAATATATGCCACATGCGAAGGCTTACAGGTGCTGCTTCCTTATGGTTTACATGAGTCTATAGCAAAGGCATGGAAGAAGGTATGTATTTTAATCACCCTCCTCACCGCAGGTCTTTATTTCAGTTATAAGCATCACTGTAATACTACTATGAACAGATTTTTTTTTTCTCCCAATACAGGAGTTCTCTGTGTGGCCCCGGCTTTCCTGGAACTCTCTCAGTAGCCCAGGCTGGCCTCAAACTCAGATTTGCCTTCCTCTGCCTTCTGAGTACAGGGAGTAAAAGTGTGTGCCACTGCTGCTGGCGTGGACAGGATATTTTAATGGGGCACTCTTCTTCTTCTTTTTGTTTCCCTCCCTCCCTGCTTCCTTCCCTCCCTTCTATCCTTTCTTCCTTTTTTGAAACAAGGCCTCACTATGTAGCTCTGGCTGGTGTGGAACTCACAGAGATCTGCCTGCCTCTACCACCTGAGTGCTGGTTTTAAAGGCATGTGCCACCATGCCGGGCTAAGTATCATTTCTTTCACATTGTCGTGGATGGTATTAGCTCTCCATGCTTCTTAACTTGGCACAGGACCTCAGACCCTCCTCTTTTAGTAGAGCTAGGCCCTAAAGGTTTACCTGATTACCGTAACGTTTTTCATTGTGTGTAGCAGAAGCTTTAGCTGAATTCTTTGTGTCTAGACTCACTGTCTTCTGTGGAGGTTATGACATCAAGAGCATAGTAGAGCAGGGGCCATGCATAGACCAGGGAATTGCTTAATCTTTTAGTTTTATTGAAACAGATAATTTAATTTTGAAAGCAACTGTGTTAAAATGCATTAAATTTAAAAAAGCAGAAGTGCTGTCAGAACAGCAGAGAAACAAATTAATGTATTTTTTTATTTTTTGTTTTTGTTTTTATTTTTTCCTTTCTTTTAGACAAGCTTGCTGTCGGAAAGGATCCCCACTCCAGTAGAGGGCTCAGACTCAGTTTCCTCGGTGAGCCAGGAATCTCCCAACATGTAAGTGTAATTGTTCAACATTTCTCTATTGTGCTTGCTGAAATCATTTAGAAATAATTGAAATTCACTGGAAAACTATGGCAAAATATTTTCCAGAAAGTTAAACTATATGCATAGAGCTTTAAGGAAAATTACACTTATTATTATTTATAGATTATTTGATACTTGTAGCTATTAATAAATCTAGAAATATTAGGTAACTTTTGCTTCATTGTTTATTTATATTTTGCATTAGAAAGCTTAGCATATTGCTAAGTTTTTAGAAAAACTGGAGAATTATCAAATACTAAAATTGGAAAATTAACTTGCATGTTCAGTAGAAGTAAAATGTTTTCAAATGCTGGTGGAATCCATTTTACTTGTTTTTCAAAATATGGTAGAAGTGCAGTTTAATTATGGTTTGGCATTTGAAAATTATGTAAATTAATATTTCAGAGGATATTTTTATGCTCTTTTATAAATATTAATCTATGTGCTAGCAGGTTAGCAGGGAAGACACTTTATTAAATTAAGGTTTCATGACCTACATGTTCCAGGTTCTTATTTTAGTTCTGTGGTTGAGTATTGGCACAGTATAAAAACATAGTAGGGACAGCCTTCAGGGAAGCTCTTTGTTAAATGTTGAATTTGGATTCTTTTTCTTTTGTAGGTTAGAACTTAACTTACAAAATCAGTTAATTTTTTAAAATTTAAGAAAAATTTAAAGGTTCAAAATAGTTCATTCTCTAGAAGTTTCCTGTATATTTTTTTCTAATATGGTTATCAACACTATCAAGTGCTGTTTTTTCCCCATTTTTCCATTGAGAAATTGTGGGAAAATTAGACAAGCTTTGTCTAGTCACAGCCTGTAGCCATAGCTTTCCTCAAAGGCACACCGCACTATCCTCAAACGTCCTTGCATATAAAGCAGAACGGAATACACGTTTGCTACAGGGAACTGTTTCTGTTGAGGGAGTGTCCTGGATAAGAGGCACTGCTTGTGCAAGAGTGCCCTACATTTGTCATCTGTCATCTGTCTTTCTTTTATATGCAGTACGGACAGGTTAATACGTGGAGAGAGGCAGTGTTACGTGTGAGTACATACTCTACATAAAAACAGTGCCACAGAAAAGGAAGTTTCCGAACCCGTTATTATGTTTGTGAAATATGTATATCTGTTTATATATGTTTATTTATATCTGTTTACACATACACACATGTTTGTGTTAGGAATATCTAGAGAGAATCAGTAGGCTAGATTCATGTATCAGCATATGAGCAAGGAGAGAAGTTAGGGGAATTGGTTCACACTGTTTTAGAGTTCAGGGTGTTTGAAAAGTAGATGCTTAGTTGGGCAGTGGTTGTTTACACCTTTAATTCCAGCACTTACTAGGCAGAGGCAGGTGGATCTCTGAGTTCGAGGCTAGCCTGGTCTATAGAGTGAGTTCAAAGACATCTTAGGTATTCTGATCTTAGCCAGGTGTTAACGGAATCTCAGAGTAGTTTTGATTTGCATTTCCCTGATGACTAAGGATGCTGAACATCTCCTTAAGTGTTTCTCAGCCATTTGACATTCTTCTGTTGAGAATTCTCTGTTTAGATCTGTACCCCATTTTTAAATTGCAGTATTTGGTATGTTGATATCTAGTTTCTTCAGTTATATATTTTAAAAATCAGCCCTCTGTCAGATGTGGGGTTGGTGAAGATCTTTTCCCATTCTGTAGGTTGCTGTTTTGTCCTATTGACAGTGTCTTTTGCCTTAGAGAAACTTTTCATGAGGTCCCATTTATAAATCTTAGTGTCTGTGCTATTTGTGTCCTGTTCAGAACTTGGCGCCAGTGTCAATGCATTCAAGGCTACTTCCCACTTTCTCTTCTGTCAGGTTCAGTGTAGCTGGATTTATGTTGAGGTCTTTGATTTCCTTGGACTTGAGTTTTGTGAGGGTGATAGATATGGGTCTATCTGTGTTCTGCATGCTGAAATCCAGTTAGGCACAACACTATTTGTTTTTTTTTTAATTATTTTTTTCCATTGTATAATTTTGGCTTCTTTAAGGAGTGTTAGTAGGTGGTGGGTGGTGTCTTACCTGGAGTCCCTGGGGACCACTCTGGCTTCCGGTAAAGATACTGGGTGTGGGTCCTAGTGTGGAATCTAGGGAAGGGCATACAATCTGGGGTTGTTGGGCAGGCTTTAACAAGTTTTAGCAGGGGCTGGGCTGTTTATTTGTCTGTGTTTTCTAGATTCTGCCTAGCCTCTGGTAAAGCCAAACACTTCTTCTAAAGTAGAAGGTCAGGATATGGAGTCCAGGGGAAGGGGTGCAGTCTGGGGTTGTTGTTCAGGCTTTATGGAGTGTTATGGGGTCCCTAGGTCTGCCCTGGCAACGGGTAAGGCAGAAGTCTTCTTCTGAAGTTTTAGGACAGGATATGGAGCCCATGGAAAGACATAGTACCTGATTTCCTGAGTGAGTGAAGGAATGGATAAGTGAATGGGTCTTTCTCTAGTCCGAGTTACTGAGAGTAAGAGTTAATTAGCTTACTTAGAAAACAGTAAAATAGGGGCTGGAAAGATGGCTATGCAGTTTAGAGCAGTGACTGCTCTTCCAGAGGTCCTGAGTTCAATTCCCAGCAACCACATGGAGGCTCACATCCATCTCTGGTGGGATTTGATACCCTCTCCTGGGATAAAGGTGTGCATGCAAATAAAACAGTCATGCAGAAAATAAATAAATAAATCTTTGAAAAAAAAAAGAAAATAGTGAAATAATGGCAATCTGTAAAAACTAATCATTTTTTTTTACCTTGAAGTTAAGCATTTTGTGCTTACATTTTTATTTTATTTATTTTTTATTTTTTGGTAACATAGGATCCTGCTCCAGCTTCCCATTTAATGGTGTCTATAGCACCAGAGAATGGAGAAGCTGATCCATAACACTGGTTGGCTATTCATGTCCTCTAATCTAGGTATTGTCGCAAATAGCAATTAAAATTTCTAATAGGCTTATCTAAGTATCTGCATACTATGTGAACCTATCATTGTGTGACTTTATAGAGGATGTAATCACAGAGAATAATAAAAAATGTCAAAGAAACCCCAATCGGCCATCAAAGGAACCACTGCAAAATTGGAGGCTAAAATTACAGAAGGATTCTTTGATCTGCAAAGCTCAGCCCATGATACCATGGAATTCATCATCAGAGACTGTACTTCCATTGGAAATATCTCGTTACTTGTTTTAGTCAGTGTTCTCTTGCTGTGAATAGACGTAGCAACCATGGCAACTGTTATAAAAGACAGTATTTAATTGGGTTTTGCTCAGTTTCTGAGGTGCAGTCCATTCTCATGGCAGGAAGCATTGTGGCACATAGGCAGACTTGGTGCTGGAGAAGTAGCTAAGAAGTTGACATCCAGGCAGCAGGAAGAGAGAGGCACTGGGAATGTCTACAAAGCCCACCTCCAGTGACACACTTCCTCCAACCAAGCCAAACCTACCCCTGCAGAGCCACACCTCCTAATCCCTCTCAAGTAGTGCCACTCCCTAATGATCAGGCGTTCAAATGGATGAGCCTATGGTCGTTCTTATTCACACCACCAGGCTACTGGACAGTAGCCCCTGCAAGCTCACATTATTTGTCATTGTCTCTCTCCCAAGGGAAAGGCAATAAAGCTCAGTAACTCAGACAGTTTGTCCCATTGTTTTAAAGGCGCTGTCACCCTGAGTGGACAGGCTGAGCACACAGTATGAAGGCTTGTTGAGTACATAGCTCTAGATGACCAAGTTAGCATACTGCTAACTTGGATGCAAGGACTGACCAAAACTCAGTTTCCCCAAAGGCAAGAGCTGTTTTCAGAAAAAGATATAGCTACAGATCTCATAACGTCCTCCTCTTTCCATGGCAGGATGCTGGGGCTTCATGCATCAGGCACAGCCAGTACTCTTATCCAGATAGCCGTCTTCCCAGCCCCTTCCTATGCTGTTTCTGAATTTGTAATGTGCATGTTTGCTCATTGAGAAACGTTATCCATAATAACACGAGTGCATGTTTAGTTATCCGTTTTTCTCCTTGTTCTGAGACAAGGTCTGGTTGCATGCCACTAACTTTTCTGATCCTTGCTTTGTAGCCCAGGTTTGCCTCAAACTCACAGCATTTCTGTTGGCTCCACCTCTGAGAACTGTCACTCCAGGCATGGGCCACCATAACCAGCGCTAACCAGAAGTGCAGTGCACTGTCCACTGCGCCATGGAGCCACCTCCTAACTCTGTTTCCTTTAAACAGAAAGTGTAAAGTCGTTAGGTATTTGTGTTGTGTTTTGAAATGCAATATGGGTTTGATGTATCTTCATCAGTCAGTGGTCTTCTACACATGAGGATTAACATAATCCTCAATGTTATAGATATTAAGAATTCTTTTAATATCTAATTTACTTCTTTACACTGATAAGTCTTACACTTGTTTACCATTTTTTGTAATTATTTTATTCCACAGCTTGTAACTTGTGACCTTTTCTCCACATAAGCATATTTTTTCATTATGCTTTTTAGTTTCCAAATACAGTTTTTGCTTTGATTGTTTGTTAGATCTGAGGGTGGTGAACTATTCCTGTCTTCTATGTCTAAATTGCCTTCTCCTCCTCCCTTCCTTCTTTCCCTCCTTGTCTGCCTGCCTTTGTTCCTTCACTCCTTTCTTCCTTTCTCTTCCTCTATCTTTCTATTTTTTCTCTAATTCCTCCCTCCTTCCCTCTCTCCCTCCCTCCTTTTCTCCCTTCGTTCTTTTCTCTCTCTCTCCTTCCCTCGCTCCCTTCCTGTCTTGTCTTTTAAAGACAGGTAATCACTGTGCAGCCCTGGCTGATCTATAACTTGCTATGTAACCAAGGCTGGTCTCAGACTTTTCCAGCCTCTGCCTCTTCCTCTGCCAAGTGCTGGGATTATAGGTGTATGCTGCCTTCCCAAGCTAATCTTCTATGTCTAGAAATGTTTGTTCTTTCAAACCAAACTGTCAGCACATAGTCTTTCCTACCTCAAGCATATGTTCTTATTCTTAAGTAGTTTAATTTTATACAAATGTTGAGGCAGGCAAACATTTCTCATCAGTTCTTGAAGCTGTCATTACAGTATTTTCTGGACTGTGTGACTCTTGACAGGTCTTGTTATCTACAATATGGCCACCCATGTTTAATAGGTGGTGGCAGCTCTTCCTTGTAATTTAACTGTTTGCTTAATCTCTGTGACTTATGTTAACTTCTTTAAGTACTCTGAATGATATTTTAATTCATACACAGATTGTATATTTTTCTCAATTTTAGGAAATTCTCAGTATTTAAAATTTAGTTGGACAATATAATATATTTATGGAATATAGAATTTTTCAAATTCTTTTCCTATGGTTTCTTTTGCAGGCTTTTTTTTGGACCACCAAGGGACTTAATGTTAGTCATGAGTGCTCAGCACCACATCTATACATAGTTAAACAAATGCAGCATAAATAAAAGCAACACATCTTTACATAATTAAACAAATGCAGCATAAACAAATGTAACACATCTTTACATAGCAAAAGTAATATTCTGCAGCATAGACAAATGAAACACATCTTTACATTCTTAAAGTAATATTCCACAACAGTTTCTGTTTTTTTTAAATCTGTGCAGAAAGATAGCAGTCATAAAAATGTATTTTGACTGGTACAAAATGAACATAATTAAGAACTGCAAAAATCTGGCTGCTCATAGTTCTACTTTTAATTGCAAGTGAAATAGTCTGAAGGTCCATAGACGTAAACGCCTTGTTCATTGGGTCCATTCGTGTATATGTCTCTGCCATTTAGCATCCCAGAGAGACAAGAGGGACTTTTTCTAAGGGCAGCTCTGCTGTGTAGCATGCAGTCTAGTGTTCGACTTTGTCAATAAACGAAAACAATAAAGTATTCTCTCAGTTATAACAAAAAATGTGTTCTGAGAAAAAATGTTACTATTCACTTCCAAATAAAATAACAATTTATGAAAATAAAAGAGACAATAAGCATATTATGCTCTAGAACATAAAAATGTTTTAATAAAAAGAAGGCACAGCAGTAATGGAGAGTTGAGGTTTAGGGAACCCAAGTGCAGTGGAATTATCATGGGAAATTACAGCGTGGATAAAAATCGAGGCTTAGTCACAGTGCCGCACCTGAAATGCACTCTAACCATCAGCGCTGGGAAGCTGTCAGAATGGAAGTGATTCCCATCTTGGTTCATAATATCTACTGAATAACCTGTAATTTGTGTGTTCTCTGTCAGTTTAATTCTTGTCCATGCCGTTTTTAGATATTTTCAGTTTTGTGAATATTAAACATCCCTTTCCCTGTTCCAGTGTGGCTTGGGAAGACAATTTGCTAGATGATTTACTGAACTTTGCTGCCACTCCCAAAGGATTACTCCTTCTTCAGAGAACAGGTGCCATCAACGAATGTGTGACATTTATGTTCAACCAGTATGCAAAAAAACTCCAGGTATGAATAACCATCTGCTCTAAGCAAAAGGAATTGTTGTTATGAAAGCTGTTGAGAGCATTATTCTGCTCTCCGTGTGTGATGAGGTTTTTAAGCTTCAGTTAGAATGCTGTGTGGTGTTGTACCACTTGATTTTTTTAAAAAGGAAAGCTTTAGGTTGTTGATATTGCTGTCTGTGACTGTATTTTGAAATTGCAAGCAGCCAGATGGAATTGAAATTTTCAGTTAGTTTTCCAGATGTTTTATAAGCATTATATAGTACATCCATATGTGCCAAAACTGGGAAGAACTTCTGGGGAAAAATCTTGTTAAGGCTAAATGTATGTATCAGTGAAGGTTTAAGCCTTGGGTGTTTTAAAAGACACAAACTTCCCTTTAGAGAGGTTATATTATACTGTTAAATAAAACTTCCAAGATAATTTATTTCGTCATGCAACCTAAAGTAATTGACTCAAAATCAACTTTGTTTTTTCTCTTTTCTCTCATAATAAAGATCCTTACATTTCTGAGATTTTTTGCATCTTACGTGTGTTGCTGAGGGTAATTTTTTCTGTATAGCTCCTTAGCCTTTTGACCAGGATCAAGGCATGCACGCAATGCTGTGAGCTGTATGTGTTTGTGTGTGTGTGCACTTAGGTGGATGGGTAGACCGATGTCAACTGCTTTCCTAAATTGCTTTCCACTTTCTTTTCTTAATATACATATCAGTTGCTTAATTAGGTTTTTGGCATGAAGTTTAGACCACCAGTTTGTGAGGATGAATTCCATTTTTTAGAGTCTGAAAGGGCTGCACACATCCCTGGAGCGGAGGACTAGCTTGACCTTTTGCAGACTGTCAAGTCATAGCTTTCTGCTCACCCTTGCCCTGTGCGGTAATCTTGTATTTTCCCCATTCCCTGTCAAAGATCGGCCTCCCTGGCCCTGCACTTGCCCAGCTTATTTTTTCTTGAAGTCAGCACCAGTGAGATGTTTAGATTTTACCATCCCCGATAGAAGCTTTTATGGAGGCGGCAGGGACTGGTTTCTAGTGTGTTCTGTGCAGAGGGGCTTAAGGGACTTAAGGTCCAGTCACAGGCAGCAAACCACTGAGTGCCCAGCTGTTCCAGGAAGACTCTTTTGCTCTGTAATTGCCCATTGAGGATGGTCAGGGCTGGGCACGGTGTGGTGTGCAGCTTCTTACATGATGGTGGAAGGCTTGCTTCCCATGGATTTGCCTCTTTCCCGGTGGTACTTTGGCAAGAGAGCACTAGGTATGTTGCCAAACTTCCATTCTTGTCACCTCCAGCTGGCTTTGAGGCGAGATCCTCCCATGCCTTTAAATTTTGTTTTCTTTCAACCTTGGATTTAGCAGCTGAGTACTTGCCGTGTACAGGACCCTTCTGGGATTCACAACAGTTGGGAATGTTTCCAGTTCCTCTAACAGATCCAGCTCTCAGCTGCAAATTTTTGCCTTTTGACTTTAGGATTACCCTTTGGGGAATGCCTCAGCCCTCTTGGCTGCAGGTGTCTTCTTTCTGTTGGACTCCTCAGCGTTTTCACCCACCATCTTGCAAGATGGCAAAGAGCTCCATCTTATTTTTGGAGACAGGGTATCTCAACTAAGAACTCACCAATTTGGGGCTAGGCTAGATGGCCAGCCAGCCCCGAGGATTGCCAGCAGTCTTGGCTTTTCCTCCACAGTGTTGAGATTGTAGGCGTGTGCTGCTGAGCCCAGCCTCCCTTTGCCCTCCTCCATCTTCAAATGTGGACGCAGGCCATTGACCTCATGCTTATGCAGCAAGCATTTTACAGGCAGAGCCAGGTCCCCAGTCCTGTATCAGTTCTCTCACAGTGCTTCCTTTTTAAATCTTGGGCAGCGATTGTGTTTGATGTTTATGTTGCCTGATGACAAATACTTACCTTTTACTCGCTTAAATTCTAATCCCCTACATTTGTTTAAAACGATAAGAAAATAGGGTTGTGCAGTGATGGCACACACCTTTAATCCCAGCACTAGTGAGGCAGAGGCAGGCAGATCTCTGAGTTTAAAGCCAACCTGGCCTACAAGGGCTAGCCCCCCCCCCCCCAAAAAAGGACCCTTTTTCTTATCTCTGTCCGTGAAGAATAAATAATTTCTTAGGTAAGCCCCTAATATTCTTTGCAAGAGTAAAATGTGTCTCTGTATTTTCATGGGTTTGTGAGGTTAGGTGTGTATGTGCTGATACATTTTTATCTTGTTTCATTGAAGGTGGACCCTGAGTACAGAAAATGTAGTTACCTGGTTCTTCAATTTATGGCATACTTACCTCAGCCATCTGTCCGATATTCCTATTCTATTTGATTTATTTTATTCTAGCGTCATTTCAGATTGCTAATTCCATTCACCCTGTACACATTTTCCAACCTCATTTTTAGGATTTTATTCTATGTAATACCTTTTCTCACCCCCCTCACTTTTTATATTATTACAAATGTTCCAGGTTATTTTGAACCCTCCATAGCTGAGCTTTGACCTGTTCTTGTATACTAATTAACTGTTCAGGCTTTGTTTATACTGTTTCTTTTTACAAAGACTTGCAAGCAACTCAAACAAATTTTCTTTTTCACCCAGGTGCTTCAGATCAGACAGGCATGATAAATCTAGAATTAGATGCCATTTTTATATTTGTAAATTTCAAAACATATTAGTTTTTCCTTTCGCTTGCAAAGAAAAGCGACTGTTCCTTTGACACCAAATTTACAGCGCTACTTCTCCGTTAGCATATTCTTCACGCTTTAATGTGCCCTGCGATTCCAGATATTTTCATCATTTACATCCTCAGTTTTCAAAGAAGCCTGAAGGCTAAGCTATTTTCTTAATTTTGTATAAGAGAGGGTCCAGGTTAGTTATGAAATGTGCTTTATGAAGCTGTTAGCTGGCTAGGTATAGTGGTCAGACTAAAACTCAGATTTTTTTCCCCAGTTTTTGACTGTGTGCATGAAGACATACCTTGTTTAATAAGGTGTCCAACTTAATGATACCTTTTTTTTTTCCTTTTCAGAATAAATGGGAATTGGACAAACCATGTGACTACCAATTCTCCAATTCTCCAAGACTAGTGGGAGGATTTAGGAGTAAGATGCTCTTTGGCAGGAATACGCAGGGAATGGAGGATAGGCATCCTTCCTGGATGCCTGTGTCACTCACTGCAGAACAGTGGATTGTAGTTCAGGGAAAATGGGAAATATGACTTAACAGGATTGAAAAGGAAGGGTAACTGATAAAGATACAAAGAATAGAAAAGAGAAAATTGATGAAATAGACCTATTTTTCAGCATGGTCATTTAACTCCTTTTTAGCTACTTTTTTTCCTCTCAAAACTTTATGTTTAAGGAGTTTGAATATAAATCAGATGCTTTTAATGAAATGTTTTAAGGTAGCAATTCTGAATGGTTAACTGTGTTCAGAAGTTGGACATCTTCTAGGCTAGCAAATTCTGATGGGCATGTCACAATGCCACTGGCCCTCTTTATTCTGATGAATGCGACCAGATAGACTCCTTCTGTACTTACTCCAAGTAGGAGTATCTTGTACAGCGACAAATGCTGAAGGACTTTCACACAGAAACAGATGTACTGATGTTTAGGATTGGGCAACTCTTCCTTAGGAACAAAAATTATATCCTCTAGAAATAACTATTTAAAGGAGAAAGTGTCATTTTGTCGTGTCTTTTTTTATTTATTTAAAATGTTTTTTCATTTTACATACTAGCTCCAGTTTCCCCACCTTCCCCTTCCTACTGCATCCCACCTCCCCCCATCCCATTCCCCATCCACTCCTCAAGGGTCGTAAGTTCTCCCTTGGGGACTCAAAAAAGTCTGGCATACCAAATTGCACCAGCCTCCTGTGTCAAGACTGAGCAAGGTATCTCACCATAGGGAGTGGGTTTCATAAAGTCAGTTATTGCACCCAGGGTAAGTCCTAGTCCCACCGCCAGGGGCCCCCCAAACAGATCAAGCCACATAATTGCCACCCACATTCAGAGGGCTTAGTTTGGTCTCATGCCGGTTCCCCAGCTGTCAGTTGAGAGGCCATGACCTTCCACCAACTGGAGTCAGCGGTCTCTGTGATTTTCCCTAGTATGATCCCATTGTTCATATGAACCCTCCTCCCTCTCTTCAACTAACCCACTGAAGAATCTGGGAGTATCCGGGCAGTGGTGATACTTGCCTTTAATCCCAACACTCCAGAAGCAGAGGCAGGCAGATCTTGTGAGTCCAAGGCTATTCTGGTTCACCGAGCTGGTTCCAGGACAGCTAGGGCTGTTATACAGAGAAACCCTGTCTCAAAAAAAAAAAAAAAAAAAAAAAAAAAAAAAAAAAAAAAAAAAAAAAACCAAAAAAAGAAAGAGAAGAATCTGGCAGTCAAAGTTTATAAATGAAGAAGTGACCTTAAAAGTAGTAACAGGATGATATAATTTAGTAATAATAGAATGATATAACTTAGTTATAATAAGATGATGTAATTTAATAATTGCACGATAGAATTTAGAACTGGAAGCTGTCGTCTGTCTACTTGATCTAAGTCCCTTTTTATGAGAAATAAGTTCTTCTATTTATGAGAGAATGTAGGTCAGGAATAATAAGTGACTCTTTAAAATATATTTTAAAATATTTATACGTGTGTATGTATGTGTGTGAGTTCAGCTGTCCACAGAGGCCAAGGTGTTGGGTCATCTGGAGCTAGAATTAGTTATAGGCAGTTTTGAGTCTCGAGATATGGATGCTGGGAACTGAACTGAATTCTGGGAACTGAACTTGGTCCTCTGCAAGAGCAGTATGTGCTCTTAACCATGGACTCTTCTCTTCAGCACCTTACTAAAAGAGTTAGACTTAAACTCAGGTCAGAAATAAAATGGTTAAAAATACCACATTAGTACTAATTCACTGTGAGAGTTTTGTTGTTTGTTTTTCTGATGTTAGCACCTGAAAGAAATTTTTAATTTTCTAATTAAAGAACAGTAATTAGCTGTACATGTACATTTGTATTAATAACATGACCACTTCCTTGCTTCTCATTGCCTTCTTTATGTTAGATAAACAGGCAGAAGAAGTTCGGCTATGAAGTTTTGGTTGTCCAGGTGGCATCCACAGCAGCAGGGGCCGTAGCTCTGCAAAATTCAGGCAAGTTTTGTTTCTCATAAATAAAACGTGATCACTGTTAACAAACGGACAATAGCATGATAAAATTCCACAATATCTCTAACTCTAAATTCTTCTTTTCAGTGTGTGACCATGAAAAAGAAAGTTTATGGGATTGTGTCTGCCTTTCATGAAATGACAGTGCTGAGTATTTTTCCTATGGAATGTAGAGACTCTTATCTACTGTTTTGTTTTTACAACAGTGGTACCTAATGATCTGTGCTAAAGCTTGTTCAATAGTGAAGATCCCTCTTCACCTTATAAGCCTAATGAATGTCATCTGTCCTGGTATAGTTAATTATCGCTGACAGTATGGCCCAGTGTTTGGTTTAGTGAATTTGCATGTGCATCCAAATGCACACTTATCCTAGTGGTCACTTATCTGTACCATTACTTGTTTTCGTCATTTCTCCTCCCTCTACAAAGCATTTCACTCACTCTGTAGCCATCACAAGCTCTTCGAAGTTCACTGTCCATCCGACTCTTTGAAGTTTGCCATCCATATGTCTTTTCCAATACCAGTTGGATTTGTAGGGAAGTAAATCACCATGATTGTAATATGCCCCATGCTTAGGTTACTGAACACTGAGAAACACATAATTTGTGATCCAAAAGAGGAATTTCTAGTTGGAGATGATGAATTATATCAGTTTAGTGATCACTATTGCTTCATTTCTTAAACCAAAATCAATCTTTCTCTCTCTCTCTCTCTCTCTCTCTCTCTCTCTCTCTCTCTCTCTCAGCCAATTTGGGCTCTTTGTATGGCTTCCTTGACAAAACTGGCTCTAAACTGAAGCACATTTTTCTTTTACTTAGAATAAAATTTATGTAGCATTGTGGACAGGAATATGTTAATAGAACCATTTGAAGACTAGATTTAATCACAGATTTCCTTGTCGTTGAATAGTTAAGCTTTTGAACCTTATCCTCTCAAACTTTCCTTGAGATGGCTAAATGAAATTCTACACAGGTCTTAGGATGACTGCAGATTCCCAAGCTTACATTACTTACATTCCAGGTATTGCATTGGCCCCTATACATTCGCTGTCTCATTTGCGTGTTGTGGAAACACTAGAATTTCCATTCTCAAATACTAAAATGTCTTGGTCTCTGAAGAAGATGAGGGACTCCCCCGACCCTGTGAATGCAAACTAACCAATAAACTCCTAATTTATACTCTTACATTAGATCCCAGTATCCTCAGTTTTAGAGCCTACATCTTTTTGAGTTGTGCCAGAAACACTTTTCTTATTTTGTTATAAGCATATTGGTTTATCCTAAATTTGTTTTTTGAGATTTTAATAAAATTACATCATGCCCTCCTCTTCTCTTTCCTTCATATAGACCCTCTCAAATACTCCTTACTTTCTTTAAAAATTCATGGCCTCTTTTTTCATGATTGTTGCATACATTTGTATATTTATATACTTCCCTAAAATCATAAATGCAATCTACTTGGTCTCTATAATATTACTTGTATGCTTTTAGGGCTGACTGTTTCATACTGGATAACAAATTGGTGTGCTCTTCTCTAGGAAAAAATATTTTTCTTGCTCTCAGCATTCCTTAGTTGCCTGTAGTTCTTAGTGTAGGGTTGAGACTTCTGTAGGCTTTCTCCCCTATCCACTTTGTCAAATTGTTGTTGTCCTTGTTCAGTTCATGTTGAGGCAGTTGTGTTGGTAGATTTTATAGGTGTGACTTCCGACATTACTAGGAGACACAATCTCACAGCAAACTCCCTGGCCTCATATTCTTAAGTCTTAGCATACCATCTTCTGTTACGTTTCCTGAGCCTTAGGAGTGGGATTTGTGTTGTAGTTGTATCCATTGGAATGGTACTTCATCATTCTGCATTTTGATTTGCTGTGGCTTTCTGATATTGCCCCTAATTGTTGGAAAGAGAAGTTTCCTTAATGGGGGGATAAGGACTGCACTTAGCTGTGGGCGTAAGTTCAAATAGTATCAGATGTGGTCAGGAATTAAGGCATACCGACTTTATGATTAGATGTTAGGTTTATAGACATAGTGTATGATTTGAAAAATTTAATAATCAGCTTTAATATTCATTTTAATGTAGTTAGACAGTATTTGACTCAAGAGAATCTAAAGGTCTCATTGAAGCAAAGTTCAAAATTGCTTTAAACATGGAATTATAAATGATTATTGGATTAAGTGAACATACTCTTTGGATGCCTGCCCGACTTGCTGGTGCCTCCTTTCTCCTCCTCCCACTCCTGGACACATTCTTTACAGTCTCCAGGGAAATATGTTCCCATGATTTAGCTAACATTACAGAGTGATGGAATATCATAAACATTTAATAAAAATAGCAAATACCATTTCTATCAAGAGTAGAGATTACACTATTAGTTTTGTAAGAAGCAAATGTTTTTCATCTGTGAGAGTAAATAAGTCTTTTCATAAGAATAATGCTATCTTCCATAAGCCAGACCATACTATTTTATAATACAATATAAATTATGCTATAAATATGACATAAGTAATACTTTTTCCTAGGCTTCATTAGTGCGCTTATAACTGAGCTGTGGTCCAATCTTGAATGTGGAAGAGACGATGTAAGGGTGACCCATCCTAGAGCTACTCCAGTGGATCCTATTGACCGAAGCTGTCAGAAGGTGAGATGTGCAGCAATAATGCAGAGATTTGAAGGTCACACAGGGAGGACTCCATGGAAACCTGACCAGTGTCGCTCATAAGCAGCAAACTTTCTTGTTTGTTTGTTTGTTTTAACACAGGGTTCTCCTTTGCAGCCCTGGCTTTCCTAAACACTGATGAGTAGATAAATGTTTTGTGCTGTTTCAATTTTAGGATATCTGATACCACAAACACATTTAGTGTACTTTTGTGGGAACTGATTGAAAATAGTTTTCAGTTCCATGAATGTTTAATACATCACAGTTTTATAATATGCTAAATGCCTTTAAAATGTCCTGTGGATTTGTTTGCTCTTGGGGTAATCTGAAATTTTCTTGAAGTCTCTTTAAAATTATATGCAGGTTATTTGTTCTCAAATACAATAATTGGATTGTTTTCATCTGAAGCTCTACTTGATTTGCTTAGAGTAGCATATCAGATTTATTACAACTATATACCAACAGAATTATTTTATTTCTTAGTAAGAGATTCCATAAACACTTTTAGAGCTAGTCTGTATAAATAATAAGAAACCTCAATATGTAACTATATGATTGATAAAGGAATCTATTTCCTTTCAGAGTAGATATTTATTCAGTTTATAAATTTTATTTGTAGTCCATTACTATAGAGAAGAAATTTATTTGTTATTATATCTAGATATTAATGGGTTAATATCATGAAATGTTTAAAGCACTTTAAGTTGTTACATTTTACCTTTGATGTAGTCTCTGGATAGTAAGATGAATTTTTAAAAGGTTTATTGAAATCTGCAAATCATCCTTCTGCATACCATCTGCTTGGTGAATTTATTTATGTGATTGTTTTGTTGGTAGCCATGAGCCCTCTAGTTTCCTTGTGGTTCCTTTCATCATAATTTAGAGACACATTTCTCTAACATGTTTTTCTTGATAGCCAGTCTTTTCCCCTCCTCCTTCCTATACTCATCTGGAGTGGCAGTATTCCCACATAGTATTCTCTTAACTAAGAATGCTGTGTAAATTTTAACTAAACCATTACATTTATTATTTGGTAATTTTGCTGTTATGCTAATATATATTAGGTTTAAATCCTACTTTTTGTTGTTAGAGTTGGTGAGCAATTTCATCTTTGCTTTTAAAAGGTTGTTGCTGGTGAGGGAATATGGACACCTTCAACTTAATACTTGTTCATTTTTATCCAGAAATACAATGGCTCCAGAGTGCCGTATGTTGTATATGCTCACCATATGGTATTGTAATTTGTGAAGTATCTCTCCATTGAGTATAAGGGAGGAAATGGGAAGTGGACTCTACTTTCTCTATTCACAAACAAGGACTGGACAGTGGCTGTCCCTACTAAATAGTATCGGACAGCTATGTTTTTATTTGCAGAGAGAAACTTTAGCCAGAAAAAGGGAAAAATGTAGTTTAGTTCTTGTACAAATGTGTTGTTATCACAACTTCAAGTTTCCTCATCTATTAATGAGAAATCAAATCAAGTAGTTTTTTATTTTTCTCAAATTTTAATTTTTCTTATAGTGAAAAATCTGATTCACAAATTTTCAGTCTACTGAATTTTTAAAATATCAAACTATTAAGCAGAACACAATGCTTACAAATAATTACAAGTAATATACAAACTAGTAATGTGTGGAACTCTGGGAAGAAGATGGAGGCTACTGGAAAGAGAGTGCCAAACTTTCTTTTTGACGTCAGTGCAGTTGAGGGCAGGTGGGGCAAGTTAGCAGGACAAGAGAAGTTTGTGTAGGTGACTTCCAGTTGAAGATGACTACGTGATTTTATTTTGGAGAAAGGTGAGAAATGAGACTTTGGAGGGGCAGAAGAGAGTCAGGTGTCCTGAAAGTCATCTAGAGAACTTGGCTTTCCTTGCTGTCTCATGATGGCTACCCAGGGAATGCTTTTGATTTAAAAGTCAGAATGGAATTTGTAGGGAAAATCTATCTAGTTGCTGTTAAGTAGATGAACTAAAGTGTCGTGGAGAGATGTACTTGGCCTGCAAATGCCGTGGGGAGGTGAACCTGGTATGATCAGCCTGGGGTAAAGGAGCTGCTTTTCATAGGAAGGCCCTGGCTTTTGAAAATCAGGTCTAGGTTCTACTGATTTTCATTGAGTATGAGACAATCTTATGGTCTAAGCTTGAGAATATATAGAATTTATTATCTTGCCTTCGAGTGTTACTCTCTTGTATTTTCTTAGTAACAATGGTATAAGGAGTGAGGAAGCAGGAGCTTTTTCATTTTTTACCAGAATCTAACTGCGGGAATTGCATGACATTTGGAAATGTTTTCTAGCTCTTACGTGTGCTCCTTAACAGTTGTTATATTAGCACTCTAAGCTCTTAAAATATTGCTATTTTGTTATTCCTAACCTATTATGGGTAGATATCTCACACTGACAATAGATTTATTTTTAAAACTAATCCTCATAGAAATGCGTGAGGGCTGCAACACTTAGAGGAATGGCTCTTTCTGTGCAGTATTAAAAAGAAAAATGAATGATTTCAATGTCTCGTCCCTTCCTCCAGTCCTTCCTAGCGCTGGTGAATCTGCTGTCCTACCCCGCTGTGTATGAGCTAACAGGCAGTCAAGAACTTCCCAATAAGGCAGAATATTCTCTTCGTGAAGTTCCAACATGTATTATTGTAAGTTACTTTCTTTCTATTGTTGTCTTTCCTCCTTGCCTACTGTTGGATATTGGTAGCAAAGACATAATTTGACAATGATGCACAAAATCCCCCATGCTTATCAAAGTCTAAATTGGTTACTTATCCCTGGAATATCACCTTTTGAGTTACCTATGCATGGGAACTTTGGTCCAGGCCATGCAACTGGTCCTTTACCTATCAGAATGCAAAGCTAACCCTCTATAGCCTGGAAAGCAAATTGGCATTTATACAAACTTCTGTAGAAATGGGTTCTAGATGACTCAGTAGCTTATTAACCATGCTTATGCTGCTCCATCACTGACTAGGATAATTAAGAATAAATTATATCCCTAGAGTCCAATATATTTTCAACTTATGTTTCAGTGAATTTTGTATTATGTCCATGAGGACAATATATGTATATTTATTTAATTTGAAGCTTAGTTATACTTAAAATTGCTCATATTATTGGCTTGGTTTAACTATTAAAGGGGATGTAGTTCATTGTCTTTGGGTGTTTATGAATTAAACACGAATGTATCAACATGTGTGCATGAACACACATACGCAAGGATTAGTAAGGAATTACTGAACACTGAAATTCTATTTCCAAACATTATGCTTTTCTTGTCATTTTATCTTACATATCATTGGTTTTAGAAATGGTATTGTTCTTCTTGAGTACTTTTCACTTTTGTTAATTCCAAACATTTAAATTCATAAAATTGCTTTCTCTTACGGGGAAGTTTTGGTAACTATTTTGGAGTAAAATGTAAAGTTAGATATATCTCTCACTAGATCTTTAAGACTGTAGGGTCTCTTATGTTTAAAATTATCCCAGCACCATCTGCTTGTGCTCACTTTTATCTTATTGCTCATGTACTCTATGGTTAGTTTTCCTATTCTGCTGCATGACTGGTTTGTGCCTGTGAATGGGTTAGGTATTGATTTTCCCATCTACCAAAAGAGGGCACAGATAAGCAGATTGTTGTGTGACATCACTAATGAGAGGACTCTAACATAGTCCCAGCAGTTAGAGTTGGCTGCCAGGACCAAGGCTGGGCAAGAGGGCAAAGAACCAAGTCCTAGCCCCGTGGACAAGGTTTTAGTTACACAGGTAAAGATATCCTAAAGTTTTATTGTATAACAGGATGCTTATAATTAATATCACTCTATTATGTACTTAAAATTTCTTAGTGGAACAAATGTGTGTTAAATGTCTTTTCCAGACTCAGAAAGAAAGTGAGAGGAAACTTGAAGTTTGTGATAGAAGCAATTAAAGGTGTCATCAGAGCCAAATTCCCTTCTCAGGGATCTAGGCAGGACTCTGTCATTGAAGAGTTCATACATGATTACTATATGCACATCATTTTCACCTTCCTCTTTCTTCAAACTCTATGTCTCCAACTCCTCTCAAATTCACAGTTCTTTTTATGATTGTTTTACACATACACACACACACACACACACACACACACACACACACACACACACCTACTGAGTCTATTTGGTATCGCAGGAGCTGATGTAAAGGCCATGGAGGGGTGCTGCTTACTAGCTCGCTCTTTATGGTTTGCTCAGCCTGCTTTCTTACAGCACAAGCTGTAGGACCACAAGCCCAGATGACACCACCCACAGTGGGCTGGGCCCTCCCGTATCAATTTCTAGTTAAGAAGCTGCCCTACAAACTTGTCAACAGCCCTGTCTTAAAAAACACTTTTTTAATTGAGGATCCCTCCTCTCAAACGACTTTAGCTGATGCCAAGTTGACCTAAAACTGTCCAGCTCAATAATGTATTTGGGAGCTCTTCCCTAGAGAAAACGGATTCCCTCTTTTTCAACAGCCATTGATTGCTTGTAGCTCTTCAGCTAGAAGTGGAACCGTGTACAATATCTCTCATCCACTTTGTCTGGTTGACTGTTTTGGTCAGGACACCATTTGTTTGGTGCCATTGTTTAGGTCTTCTTTAGACAATCACATTGTTGAAGTTTCATGGGTGCAGCTTCTCTGTCAAGTCTAGGTGATGCTATCATGCTGCTGACTCCTGGTTTTCTGGATAGTAAATATTTTGTCCCCTCTTCTGCCACTTTCCCTGAGCCCTAGGTGTAGGGCTGTATATGTATCAGCTGGATACTGATGTACACTGTGTATCCGCTGGAGTTGTCCACCTCATGTTCACTTGTTCCCTACAGTTTCATCCATTATGAGACTCTGCAATTGTCACTGTCTGCTCAGAAAGTAACTTCTTTGGTAAGGAGTGAGAGAGGCACTTATCTGTGCATATAAGGACAAGTATTTAGAATATAGTTAGAAACTGTATTAGCTTAGGAAGATGACAGTTATAAGTTCTCTTATACAGTATATGATTTCCCAGCCATTTGCAGTATAAAGCATGAATTCCCTCTGCTCCCCCCGTCATTAAGCAGGCCCTAAATCCAATTAGACAGTTGGTCACTTCCAATATAAAAGTGCCACTACTGCACCATTGAGGATATTTTGCCAGGCCAATAATTGTTGTGGCTTGTAGATGTCACAGCTACTGAGAACTGTGGGGTTCTTGTCTCCCTTGCAATTTGCATAGCGCTTTCTGATACTGTGTCCTCAGGGTAGAGACTTCCAGATCAGTTGTAGCTCAGTTCTTCCAAGTCCTGTGTCCAGAATACTGTGTTTTCAGGGTCTTATTATGGGAGGCAGCTACCAAAGCCTATATTATTTGGGGAATCTCTTGGACCACTGACCTAAAACCCAGAGGAAGGTTTACAGTGTCTGTACTAGGGTATTGTCACTTAAGTCTATGACTTTGGACAGAAACATTATCACCCTGTGTAGCATAAGTCTATTCATCTGTTCATCTCTCTATCATCTATCTATCTATTCTCTTTTTCCTATCCATCCATTACTCTTTCTTTTATCTATATCTGCCATCTATCAATCTTCCATCTGTCTGTCATCTATCTGTCTGTCTATCTATCTATCTATCTATCTATCTATCTATCTATCTATCTATCTATCTATCATATAAATGTATTGTAGGCATTTCATGTCTTATTGCTGCCTGACACTAATTCTTTACACGCCTAACTATCTCTACATGGCCATCGTCTCTTCCTGACTGGAATCTTCCTCTGTATTTCTCTTCTCAGGATATTTGTCTTGGACTATAAAGGTCCTTCTGTATGACCTAAAACGACTAAGATTTTTAACTTAATTCCATCTTCAAAGATCCCTTTTCCAAACAGGGTGACATTCAAGTTCTGGGGATTACGACACAGGCAGACTTTGAGGAGGTTGGTATTTAACCTCCTCACTGTATGAACACTGAAGAGTGATCATTTCCTCTAGTTCCCCATGATGAAAAGTCCCAAGGGAGGAACTCGACTGTAGCAATAAGGAACGATGGGCTGTGTTCCAGCCCTGATACCGGCTAGCTTACCTCTGAAATAATTACACAGAAACTATATTCTTTTAAACACTACTTGGCCCTTTAGTTTCAGCCTCACATCTTGATTAACCCATTTCTAATAATCTGTGTAGCACCACGAGGTGGTGGCTTACCAGGAAGGATCTTAACCTGCATCCATCTTGGAGAGGAGAGCTATAGCGTCTGCCTCATTGCCTTTTTCCCAGCATTCTGTTCTGTCTACTCCACCCACCTATGTTTTGACCTATCAGTCTAAGCAGTTTCTTTATTAATTAGCCAATGAAAGCAACAGAAATACAGAAGCCTCTCCTACATCATTTCCCCTTTTGCTGTTTAAACAAAAAGAAAGGCTTTTATTTTAACATAGTAAAATTATATATAACAAAACAGTTGTAAAGCAAGAATTATAGTTACAATATTTATATCTATTTTGCCATTTATTATAACTAAGGAAAAAATATAACTATGACTAACCATTTTTTAACTCTATCAAAGACTCCAGAAGGATATAATATTACCTAAGCAAATAAGAAATAAGCAACTTCCAAACTCTAGAAATGACAGAGACATCTCGCTGCCTGGACAGTCATCCAAAGTTCCTTTGTACCGTTGGGGCATCCATCTTTAGCCTTCAGGCCCATAGTATCCAGAAGACATTTTCATGAAGCAGGAAATTTTAAAGGCAGTTTAGTTACTATCTGCTGTGTCCTGTAGAATGTCTCCCAGACTCTTTCAAGAATCAGGAACCCTGAAAGACCATCTCACCTTTAGAAAAGTTTAGCAGTCCTCTCTCTGCAGGTTTTTTATGTCCAGTTTATGCATCAGTCCAGGCAAGAGCAGTTTTTTGTCCAAATGGCTATCCAACTCCATAGGAGCCTCTTTGATGCCCATCTTTCTCTTGAAGTAGATTGGTGTTGTCAGGAGCAGATGTGTCTCATTGTCATGAAAAACCCTAAGTTATTAAAACATTAAATGTCATTGTCTGTAGTCTTTGAAAGATATGAAGAATGTCTATCTAACTGAAATATATCTCTATATATCTTGAAAATCTAACTAACATGACTACAAGCTTGACTATTATTGATGATTATCCATTAACAACCTACATTTTCTAATTATACATTTCATTTTTAAATGAACTATAAAATCACAATACCTTAATCAAGATCAGAAATACATATACATATTACAAAATTGACCTTAAAATCCATACCAATGCAAATTATTTTCATTACAGGCTAACCAGGGTAATCCACTCTTGAAATATATAGTTTTAGGGCCTTATTGACCTTATCCTGTGTTTGTTCAGTTCCTAAAAGCATCAAGACAGCACAAATACGGGCACTGGCCCACGTGACTAGATGGCCCTCAGATGTGTGCCTACTTTATACCAGGCTTTTTCTTTTGGGCCACCAACCAGCTCACAAATCATGACACAGAGACTATTAACTTTGGATGCTCAGCCTTAGCTCTTTTAACTTAAATTAACCTGTTTCTCTTTATCTACCTTTCCCTCATGGCTTATTACCTTTATTACTTTTGTATATCTTACTTTCCCTGCTTCTCTATGTCTGTCTAGCTGGTGTCTGCCTGACTTCCTGCCCCAGACGTGTCCTCTCTCTTCTTCTCTCATTCTTTTCTTCCTTCTTCTTTTGCGCCTACATTGGTCCTCCTATTTATTCTCTCTGCCCAGCAGCACCACCTGTCTTTTCTCTTGCTTTGCTATTGGCCTTTCAACTCTTTATTAGACCAATCAGGTGCCTTAGGCAGACATGGTGCAACCTGTGCTACATATCTCTTCATATATCTTTTCATAATTAAACACTCATCCTTACAGCATTAAACAAATATGACACACTTTTATACATTTAAAGTAATATTCTGCAGCATAAACAAATGTAACACATCTTTTCTAGTTAAAATAATATTCTACAACACTACTTACACTGAATTCTTCTTTGTTTATCCAGTCCTGGTTTTAGACTGACCGCTAGCTTACTGAATAAATTCTCAACATGAACAGTATCCTTTGAAATAGTATTTCTGCAGACTGCTAGTTCCGGCCCTTCCACTAGATTTTTGCTGGCTTATTCTTGTTTAAGAAGCTGATTCTTTTCCTGGCATGTTGTGGTGCTTAGAAACCAGCATGGTTATGGTGCTCTCCATAAGACAGCTTTACTAGGAGCTCTGCTTTCTTCCCTGAGTGGTGCTACATCAATGTAATCCTCTTTGAAGAAGAAATTATTTACTCTAACATTTTTTTTCTCTGAAAATACATTATTGTTGATGGATTGTTTCAGTCTCTCCTTCCATCAGCTTGTTGGCAATACCATATATTCCCATCATTTTGTTCTTCCTAATCTACTTCGATTCAGATCCCAAACTTCAGACCTCCCAGGTGTCACCCGCCATCAGTATGCTTAGCTTTGTATTCAGATAGCTGTGAAAATTTGTGCTAAGTGATGAAGACAGAGGGGACAGCTGTGGAGAACATGACTCTGCAGCTGGGCATATGAATGTGAGTGGTATGTTCATTTCATTACGTGATGATTGGAACAGAGTGCCCAGCTAAGAAGAAGACAGCAGACTACAGTGACAGAGCTTTAAGAAGACTCTTTTTTATTCTCCATCATTCATCAATATTTTCTAGTTTAAACTTATGTATTATTACACATTCGTATAAGTTATCAATAGATATGTGAATGTTAATATATATCTGTGATACACACTTACATATATATATATATTTATGGTAGATATGAGATAGTACACACACACACACACACACACACACACACACACACACACACACACATATGAGCTAGGTTCTCATGTGGTCCAAATTGGCCATGAATTTGCTGTATACCCCAGGAGGCCCTTGAACTTCTGATCCTCTTTTCTCCACCTCCTGTGTGCAGGGATTACAGGTATGAACCAGAATGCCTAGTTTTTGATGTGTTGAGAATCAAACTCAGGGCCATGTGCATGCTAGGCAGACACTATTAATTGTGCTATATCCCTGGCCCCATATAATTCATTCTTAATTGTTGAGCCTTAGATCTCATTAGGATAAATTTACCTTTTTTGTGTGTGCTTATAGTAGTATTTCTTGAATGTATTTTGAATTATTTATGACTTCTTTCTCTTATAAATTCATTCTCTCACCTCTTATTCATGTGCTGGAGCTGTTTCCATGGCACCATTCATAAATAATGAATAAATTTTATTTGACTTTGTTCCTTATTGGCCAGCCACAGTAATATGTTGTATTTAAATCCATTGATGAATTTATATATAAAGAAAGTTTTTGGATTTGTATTCAAAATATACACAAAACCAGGGTTTTGTGTTTTGTTTTTTAATTACTTCATTTACACTTGTCCTTTTTTTTCAATTGAGACATGATCTTACCCTGTAGCCCAGACTAGTCTTAAACTTAAGGCAGTCCTATTACCTTAACCTCTTGAGTCCTGGGTTTAGGCAATATGGGTCATAACATCAGGCAAAAAGCAGATCTTTAAAGAAAAGCTTTTGGAGAGGGATATATTGACATAGAGAAAACTGTGTGTGGACTGACATTGTCAGGGCTTGAGATTGCTTGTTGCTTCCAGTTTCAAGGAATGCTGCATAATGGGAAATCTGAAGGAACTTTAAGGATCTTAATGCTGGAACCTCACCTGTTGTGATTGCTCTTAAGTAGACCAATCTGTCCATCTGTCTGCCCATCTACCTATCAATCATCTATTAGTCAGTCATCTGTCTTTGTTTCCTAGATGATGATAATATTTCCCCAGAATTCTAAACCACTTATTTACCCAAACTAGAGAGGCTATTAACATATTCTTAAGTAGGTACTAGACAAAGAATTCAAATCAACGTTTTTTGCTTCACATTTGAAGATTTTATATTGCTTTTAATAGTAGTTTGTGTTTTGGGCTTTTTTTAAATCTTTATTGTACATACATCCTGCTTGCCGCTTTGACAGGTGCGTATCATGGTTCTTCACTTGGGGTGAACATTGACCTCAGTTTAGAAACTTTTCCAAATCATAATGCTCAGATCTTACCTAGACTAGTAAGTTCACTAACTCTAGGATGGCTCTGCACATCTTTGACTCCAACCTCTCATGACTTCCAGTAGTTCCAGTGTGAACTCAAATTTTAGAATCATGAATCTAAATGAATATTTATTGCTTTAATTTATTTGACTCACTTCTGTTATGCAGCGTCTCAGTGTTTCTTTGTTATTTTTAGGATATAATCGATAGGCTTATCATTTTGAACTCTGAAGCTAAGATTCGCTCTTTACTGAATTATGAACAATCACACATCTTTGGTCTAAGGTAAGCTATTAAACTTTAAGCATATTTTACAAACTGCAGAGATTAAGCATTTATTCTCTATATATTTTGTGTGACTATATAATATGTATCTATGCGTGTGAGTGAGGTGGTATATGTACACATGTGGAGGCCAGAGTTTGATGTCAGATGTCTTCCTTGGTGGCTTTCTCATTTTTTTGAGACAGGATCTGTCAGTGAACCTAGAGCTCATGGACTGAGATAGAATGGTTGGCCAGTGAGCTTGGGGGAATCTGTGTGGCTTTGCCTATCTGCACTGTGGGTACAAATGAGTGTCTGACTTTTATGTGAGTCCTTGGGACCAGGCTCAGGTCCTCGTGTTTGTACTGCATGAGTGTAGTACATCCACTGAGTTGTCTCCACAGCCCAATTCTATATACATCAAAGAGTGTTTAAATTGCTTAACTTAAAGCTAGTATTGGAAGATGTCATTCTATTACATTATAGTAACAGCAAATTATAGCACTTAGGCTTTGATACTATAGCCTTTGTCTGAATTTAGGTTTTGCATGGTTAGTGGCTGCTACCTTTGCTTAGTGTGTAGGGGCACATGAAGGACTACTTTCATTGACTTTTCTCAGGAGTCTCATGAAGATTCCCTGGGCTGCCTTGTGATCAGACCCTTTTCATAATAAAGCCTTGAAACAGGACTAGACATGGATGTTTGGTCTCGAGGTCCAGATTTTGCTCCTTGGAATTGATCATTAATGGTCAGCTCTTCTTTTCTTGGGGTTTAAGACTGGTTGAATTCATATTCCTTGACATTAATGGTCAGGTCTTCTTTTCTTGGGGTTTAAGACTGATTGAGCTCATATTCCTTGACATTTTAATTGGTATGTTGAAATGGGAAAGAATGCAGGTTTGGCAGGGATACAGAGGCTTAGGAATTCTCAGTATTTTGCTCGTATGGCGATGCGTAGCTTGCTTTCCCACCTACAAATGACTGCTTTGAAATCAGCTGAATTAAGGAGAATTTCTGTGCTCATAAGTTCATGATTTTTCCCCTTTATATTATCAAAGCACTTTTCTCGGGCGTAAGGGAGGCCGTGATAATGTGCTGCCTAAGAAGTACAGTGTGTACCTTCTAAGAGCAGGCTTCTTTGCTGGTAGAATATAGCTCTACATTTTGATGTCTTACTTTTTGCTGTTCATTAATAGTTTAACTTTACTTTTTGACTTCTTGGTTAAAAGAAGATATAAAAAAGCTGCAGTTATTATAATTATATGTTTTTGGATATTTGTCCTTTATTTCAAAACATGTTTTCACATAAAATTTTAACTTTCAATTTATAACATGAGAAATATCATATAGCAAGAAGCCAAAGGGGATTATAGATTAAAATATTCAATAGAATTCTCTTTTGACTTTTGAGTAATTAAAAATAGATTTTGGTTTCTTCTTGTTATATACTAAGTAAATATTCTTCCCTTGTATGTTAATTTATATGTTTAGCCTGTGCACATACACATTATGACATGTATGTAGAGGTCGGTAGACAACATTTGTTACCATATGGATTCTTGGGGATGGAGCTCAGATAATCAGGCTTGGTGCCCAGTGACTTTAGATGCTAACCACGCCCCCTCTTTTCTCACCTCTTCTCCTGCCACCTTACATCTCTTTTGTGATATTTCTCCAACTGTACTTAAAGGGAAACTACTAAAATTTTATTATATAAAATAATATAAAAACAAAAGCTTTAATAAGTATTTTTTGATCCTTTCTTACAGTGTACAAATGGAATTATCTGTCTTATAGAAAGAAAATTGTCTGTTTTGGTGTACTGTCACCACACTGCAGTTTGTGTCCTGAGCCTGGGATGGTGTACTTGCAGGAGGCGGAGTTACATTCAGACAGCTGGGAAATGCAGGATGCTCACATTATTATCCTTCCAGGGAAGTGGGAATTACATCTGAGCAAATCAAAGGGCTTAAAACGGTGCCTGGCACTAACAGTATTAACAAATAGTACTTTATGTGATTCAGTATTTAACTATTCTGTTTTTGTTATAAAACAAATATTGCCAGGTCAGCAGGTAGATCCTAGCATTGCATTGGGTATGAAGCTTGTGTTTCTTTGGGTTCTGGAATTTTATCAGGATCTTTCCTTACAATCACAGTGCTGTGCTTGAGATCATACCTTCCTCGTGCCCTCCGCTGCAGGATACAGTCTCATGCGTGTGTCAGACTTCAGTCGCTTATCTGCCCCTTTATTTTTCCTCGCTTCAGAACTCTAGAAACAGCATTAATGGCAAATTTGAACTAACTTGTGTCTGAACACTTCAGTGGGGCTCATGTGAGGCTTAGTGAAATGTGGTTTATGGTTTTTCACGTTTCAGCAGCGTCACATGCTACTTAGAACCTAGAGTCTAATTTGCCAAGACAGCCTAAGAGATCTTAAACTGAAGTCCTCTCTCACTCAAGGAGATGCTCTTTAGCCCTGTGCTCCTTCCAGCCCATTATGTCATCCTGGACCATTCTTAGCAAGAGGGAAATGTCTCCATACATGCCACCTGACACTGAGAACACCACTAAGCCTTCCCACCTCCCTGCCCACACCCATGCTCTTTCTCTGCTTCCCACCTTGCTTGCCTCTGTTTCCTTTTTGGCCATCTTCAGGTTGACGTTGACTTTGCATCCTCCCAGAGTTATGTATCCCATATATTCAAGGTCAAGATCACTCCCATGTTAATGATTCCGGTGCATCCATTTTTACATTCGGTTCTCATTCTGTTCTTGTCACTTTCAATTACATTGAAAATAGTGGGTTTTGCTTTCTTTTTGTATAAAAAATTGTCTTTGTGGCTGAGCATGGTGACTCAGTTCTGCAATCCGAGGATTTGAGAAGTGGTAGCAGGAGAATCAAGAGTTAAGGCTGTCTAGCCTTGGCTACATGGTGAGTTGGAGGCTAGGGTGAGTTATCTTAGACTCTATTTAAAAAAAAAACTCAAAACATACATTTTTGCTTCTGTAACACTGCATACTTTTTTATCTTTTAAAAAATAAAGCAATCTATCTTTTTTCACTTTACATACCAATCCCAGTTCCTCCTCTCTCTCCTCCTCCCATTCCCTTTATCTTCCCCCACCACTCTATCCCCTCCTCAGAGAGGGTAAGACACATTGCTTTGGGGAAGGTCCAAGGCCCTCCTTCTATATCCAAGCTGACCATGGTATCCATCCAAAGAGAATTAGTTCCCAAAAAGCCAGTACAAGCAGTAGGGATAAATCCTGGTGCCACTGCCAGTGGCCCTGCAGTCCGCCCCAGGCATACAACTGTCACCCACATTCAGAGGGTCTAGCTTGGTCCTATGCTGGTTCCTTCCCTGTCCAGTTGGAGTTGGTGAGCTCCCATTAGCTCAGGTAAGCTGTTTCAGTGGGTATTCCCATCATGGTCTTGATCTCTTTGCTCATATTTTCACTCCTCCCATTTTGAACTTTTGGAGCTCAGCCCAGCCTCACTACAAACTTTTTTTTTTTTAAGCTGTATTTTCTTCATCTTTCTCTGAGAAGTCTTTGAATGTAATACTATGGATTTGGTCCTGGGCCAGCCTCTCCCATCACCACTCCCTGATTCTGTTTTTAGTTCTTATCATGTTTGACATCTCGAGTCACACATTTCTCAGGCATCAAAAACTTAATATGTCAAAAATTTAACTCTGGGATCTCCTATTCCCCCCATAAACAAAAACAGACCAAGTAAATTTGATTTCTGTCTCGTTAAGTGACTCATCCATCTCTTTATTTGCTTCAGTCTGAAAGTCATTTTATTTTCTCATTGTTTTTCAAACAGTAATTTATCTCATTATGACTAAATTAAGCAAGATGAGAAATTAAATATAATAAATTAAGTGAAATTCTTCTTAATTCACAGTATCATTATTAACATTGAAGGAAATTATTCTAGTCTCACTGTATGTGTGTGCAGGCAAGTAGGATGCGTCCACACAGAGAAATAAGTTCAGTTATGAAGATGGAGTCAAGAGTGCCACTTTAAATTCTAAATGAATTCTACAGGAAGGAAAAGACACCCTAGTGAGATGGAAGGAATTGCTGAATTTCAAATAACTTTTCTTTTTTTTTTTCACTTCAGTAAGTACCTTCCTCAGGATCCCTGTAAGGATAAGAAGTAAAATTATGTAAAACCCTTCAAGAGATTTGAGGATTATATTTCATTTTCAGACAGACTTGATTGACTCTACTGTGAATGATGAAGACATTAATGCTTCCTTTGGCCTCCCACGTCTCCTGTCTCTATCTGTCTTAGTCTGTTTTATGTTGTTATAACAAAGTCCCCAGGCACGGTAATTATGTAGCATTTTATTTGCTTCGCGATTCTTATGACTGAAAGGCCTTATGACTGGCGCTGGTGTCCAAGCCACAGCCCTGAGCTGTACTATAATGTGAAAGAGAGACAGAAAGGGTACCTACCCACCATGCCCCAGAAGGCAGAGCTTATTTGGCAGGGTAGGAAGCTGGGGTAGGGGTTCTGAATCAGTCTTGTGCTGTTTATTACAATTAGGGTCTTGTAATAAAACTAACAGGGCCTTATTGGGAAGTGAAATGGGCCCCTGGGAACTCAGATTTGAAGGTGACATCCCATTGACCTCCTCACCTTACTCTAGGCCCTACCTGTTAAAAGTTCCACCATTATCAAGCGCCTAACAAATGATCCTTGGGCTGTGCATTCAAACTGCACCCAAATCATAGCACCTGCCATGAGCCTCTATCTGCCCACGTGCCTGTTAGAAGGTAGCTGATTTGCCTAACTCTGAACCTGCTTCAAGAATCAGGCACCATCCTCTCCTCTTTACCAAGAGTGAAGCAGCTGATCTGAGACTCTCAGTAAAGGGCCTTTTATATATAAACATAACATGTGCCTTTTCTTTCTTTTCCTCCTTCCATCCAGCCTTACTTGCCTTTTTTTTTTTTTTTTCTATGTAAACCAGACTGGCCTTATACTCACCGAGATCCACCTGCCTCTCTCTGTCTCCTGAGTGGATATTTGTAATTTCAAAATTTGTATTTTGGGGCTGGAGAGATAGAGTTAATGGGTAAAGAGCATGTGCCGCACTTCCAGAGGACCTAGGTTCAATACCCAGTGCCAACATGGTAGATTACAGCTCACAATCATCCGTCTCTCCAGGTCCTGGCAATCCAATGCTGTCTTCTGGCCCCCATGGCAACAGGCATGCACATAGTAAGGCGACTTATACTCGCAAAACATCCATACACGAGATAATAATAAAAAAATTTACCCTTCTCCACTTTGTTTACTCTGCTTCTGGTCACTGAGCTCCTCAGAGCTGTGTTCTGTGCCAAGTGAGGGTAATCACTGAAGAGGAAAGGTGACGTGATAATTACTCTCTCCAACCCTACTGCCTACCAAGGGTTTCATATAGTAAGATAATGAGGTAATTAATTGGGAAAAGAAACATTGATATTAAGCCTCCCTTCCCTGGCCCCACATTGAAAACTGAGCTCGACACCTTTGGAGAGCATCCTCTAGTCTGCGCCCTCCTTTCCTGGCTACGCCAATCATTTCCTACTTGCTGACGCTTTATCTCCCTGGAGCCCCGTCCGTAAGGGCTCTCTGCCGGCGTCTAATGCCTTTAAGCACCTCTTCTCTTTTCCAGACACACCCAGCACGGCCATCCTGGAGGGTGATGCTGGCTCAGTTCCGCACACAGATTCTGAGCCCCTTGCCCGTGACTTTGTCTCATGGCTGCTCCTCCACATTGAGTGATTCTGAACTTTTCTTGTCTGCCCTGTTGCCAGTCATTTTTAAAAAATATTTATTTGCAAAACCTATTGGCAAATTAAAAGAATTACCTGAACACTTTAATCTTTCCGAAGGTTTTAGCAGTTTAGTTTTCTTAGCCATCCGAAGTATTTAGAGAAATATATTTTTCTTAGGATGTTTTATTTTAACATAAAAACTGTTTATTTCATGGCCCCAAAATTTTTACAGTGGTGGTACATGTCTTTAATCCAAGTACTTGGGTTGCAGAGGCAGGTGGGTCTCTGTGAGTTTGAGGCCAGCGTGGTCTGCAGAATGAGTTCCAGAACAGCCAGAGCTAACACAGAGAATCCCTGTCTTGAAAAAGAAAAAAAAAATAGCATCGCTCAGTATTAACTTTTTTCATTATATCAGATTACAAATTGTTTTAGTAAATCTGTAAGATTTTTTGAAAATTTACATCTTTTTTTCTCCCTGGGGAACCACTGAGTTTACTAAGCTTACTTACTGAGCATGGTTGAAAAGACACTTACAAGGGTTTTGATACTGTGGTGGCTTGAGTCAAAATGACCCCCAAGGTCCCATGGAGAGTGGCACTATTAGGAGGTGTGGCTTTGTTGGAGAAAGTGTGTCATAGTCACTTTCTGCTGCCAGTTGATCTGGATGTGGAACTCTCAGCTCTTTCTCCACCACCATGTCTGCCTGCATCCACTATGCGTTCTGCCATGATGATAGTGGACTAAACCCCCTGAAACTGTGAGCCAGCCCCAGTGAAATGTTTTCCTTTGTAAGTGTTGCTGTGGCCATAGTGTCTTTTCACAGCAATAGAAACTCTAAGATACCCCAAAGCAACCACACAGTATGTACAATGGCTCTCCCATAGCTGCATATGTGAGTTTACCTTCTCTCTACTGTTCCACTGCCCATATACTATTATATTACTTGAAAATTTACATCTTACGTAGTAATTCTTAGATATATATTTAAACTTAATATAGTTTAAAATGTCAGTGTAATTCTCAAAAACTTACTGTTTCTTTTCCTTTCATTGAGACTATAATATATAAAATCAAATTATTGTCAGTTTTCTTCAAAACTAAGGAACCTACTTCATGCAACAGCTTATGAATTACTGATTTTCTCTTTATTTTACAATTACCCACCAATAGTAAATTTTGTATGAGAATAGTAAGGCTTATGAAGATTTTATTTTTCAAACAAGACAAAAATGCTTTATTTAGATCACCAAGAGTGATGTTTCACAGAAAGGGAGCAGTTACAAACTCTAGAGTTGCAGATTCTCTTTTGCTGTCAATGTTCATTTTCCCCTAGAATATTTTGAGATGATGCTATGTCCAAATATGAACTCAAATGTGCGGAACAGAGTTCTCTAGTCTCATCACATTAAACGTCTTCAAAAACATTTTAATGCTAAGAAATACATCAACCCTGTGGTTCTGCCGTCGGCCCACTGTGGTGTCTACCAGAACAGCCTAACCTATGCATACTTTCAGGAATATTCCCCCTGAACACAGCTGTGGCCGCTTCTTGCTATCACACACAGCCTGTGCAATAGCATACATTTTTTTTTAAATTAATAAGCAACTTTACCTCCCTACAGGCACGACAACCACAATAGCCCAGGAAGTTATTCTTAACAAAAAACCCTACAGTATGTGAACAACTCAAATCCCAAAGCCTGCCCTCTCTCAGAGCCCCTCCTCCCCCAGGGTGGGCCCACCTAAGAAGGAAAACACCAAGCCAGGTGGAGCCCCTGTGCTTACAGAGCCATCAAAACTTTAACAGATTGTCCTGGGGTTCTTGCTGCTATAGTGGGCCTCACAGGCAGAGACATATGCCGACTCCAGGAAGAAGTCAGCCTGGTATTCTGCTAAAAATCTCAGAAAGAGATCCAAGTGCTTCAGTAATGCTTTCAGGTTCTTCTCAGAGAAGGACATCTTTCCAAGAATCTCGGGAAGTTTCACAAACAGTCGCAGTAAATGCTGTGCGCCATAAATGTAAGAGGGGGGAGGTGGCTGGTGTCCTGGGGGGTAATTGTCAGGCACAAGCTTCCAGGAGAGGACCTCATTTAGTTCCTCAGCTGTCCCTTCAAAGCCAGCAAACATAGAGCTCCCTTCCTTCCCTGGAGTCAGAGAAATGGGGGACGGTGATGTGCCGTGCACAGGTGTCTTTTGCAAGTGAGGGAACAGCTTGGGCACACTGCGCTTGGCCTGGGGTGAGGCCCGGTCCTCAGGCTGCCAGTGGCCGTGGGCGAGGTGTCGCATGGACCGCCTGGGAGCCCGCGGCACTTCCGCCTCCGCTCTGCGCCTCTTGGGGGCGGGGGGCCCGGCCATGGGCTGGCTCTCGGAGGGCTGCGGGGTGGACGGGCCCGGCCAGGGCGCCTCCTGGCTCCTGCCTGTCTCAGTGGCTTTTTCCTCAGTCGGAAAGAAAAAGGTGGAGGAAGTCACCATTTCATACTGTGCCTGTTCCTGAGGGTAGAGCAGCACCAGGGGGAGCGCGTGGTCGAAGGTGATGCGCAGCCCGTCCGCCATCTCCCTGCAGAGGCCCACGCTCCTCTCGGGCGCGGCGCGCTGGGGCTGCGGCCGGCGGTCCCCCGAGACCAGCGCGCTCGCCGAGAAGTGGCGCACGTAGCACTCCAGGATGGCCCCCACGTTGGTCTGGCACGGCAGCCTCACCAACCGCCGCCTGCGGTTGATGTAGTAACAGTCGTCCGCCAGCCGCTGCTGGAGCACTTCCGGGATGGGGATGCGGACGGCCCTTTCATCCGGCTCCCTTTTCGCGTGCGGCTCCAATTCCCTTTTGCCCTTAGGCTTTGGGTCAGTATCACCGTGTTCACCCACGTCCTCATCCTTCTCCACACCGTCGTCCTTAGGGCCGCAACCGAGGGAGCTCATCCTTTTCACGTTCCCTACGGTCTCTGCCACCGGCGACAACCCGCAGCGCGTTCCCCTTCTGCCTGGGCTCCGCCGGGTGGCTGCGGCTTTTCTGGCTGGTTCACACTGTAACCTGAGATTTCATCTGATCCACGAAGCCAGGGCTTTTGGGCTGCCACCTCCTGTCTCAGCCATTAAAAGGATCAGATAGCCTGGAACTTTCTGCCAGTTTTGTCTTCCCCCAGCAACAACCTGACGTTCTTGGCGCGGCAGAGCACTCGCGCCAGGGCGGGCGGGGGTCAAGCAGGAAGCGCAGCACTTTCTGGGTAGAAGTGAAATTGGGCTCCTTTTTCTTAAGGATCAACCTCTGTATGACTTTGGGAGAAAAAGTAAAATACTAATTTTAGAAATAAATCTAGGTTAGAAATTGGTTATTTTAACGTAATAAACATAGTTGAGTGTTAATATTCCATCAGAGCAAATTACCTAATTATGGATTCCCAGTAACCCAGTTGCTAAAGTTAAATTTCATTACATTAGGAATGAGAAATAGTTCAAATTAACTTATGAAAAATATTTTTAGTATCAGAAATTAGAATATAATCTTGACTACAGATTCCCCCTTTTTAAATTTATGTGCGTGCACACATTCGTAGATACTTACATACACACACCCAGTACTTTTTGTTCTTTATATTAATTTAAATGATCATCTCTTGCTAATTGATTAATCCTGAGAGTGTTTTCTTGTATAGGTATCTTCTTCCGTATTTATAAAATTAGGATTTATGAAATTTTGAATAAAAACCACAGATAAATTCGTGAACAGATGTAATTACTGCTTTATAACAAATTTAGAAATGGTATTGGTGATGCCAAAGGACAGGCCCGTTTTCAAACTATACATTTGCATTTACCCTCTTACCTTGGGGATTCTTATCGTTTGTGATTGCCTGTATTCTGCCAATTTAATGAGATTTATTTCTTCCACTGACTCAGGAAATATTTAGCTCTCCACCAAGCACTATGCCTTATTCGAGAGTCGTGTGTATATGTGTGTTGTTTTGATTTAGGGATTTTTTTTTCCATCTATCTTTGATTTTTGTAAAGGTTGGTCTTTAGTCCGCTGTCAGTTCTCTCTACAGGGGTTTCAATTATCAGTTCTAGGCTTTTCTTTTATAAAATGGTTGTTGTTTTTGTTTCTTTTCTGATACAGCAGTCTTGCTATGTAGCCCAGACTACCCGCCTCCTGCCTTCACTGCCAAGTGCTGGGCATTACAGATGTGTGCCATTTCACCTCCCAATAGTCAGTTCTTTATAACCCCGTGTCTGTGTACCCAGCTGAAGCACTGCTCTGAGCACTTTCTATTGAACATTCACATTTGCAAAATATGTGAATTTATCAGTCTCAGTGTGCTTCTAATCTACACTTCTTATTTATATATATTTTTAAAGCTATATATTTACAAAAGTCCAAACTAAACTGCAGCTGCAGGAGGTCCCAGAACCTTTCTGCAATTCGGATCTGCATTTGGGAGTAGAGTGAAAAGACTCCCCAGAGTTTCCACTCACACTTCAATGCTCAAGCAGAATCCCCACGGGCAACTGACTCTGCCCCCTTCCCTCTTCTACAGGTCTTCAGACTTGTGTGTGTGGTTGGTGTGCGTGGCTACTGTTTGTATCAGTCATGTCCCATTTTTGGGTTTGAGTATTAGGCAGGTACATAGTTTTCTCCAATGCTGTGGGATGAAAACTTTCATATCAAAGAAATGAAATATGGTTAAGTAAGATATATATGCACGCCCAAATAGAGGTAATATCCAGATGTATATTTATGTGACACACACATTTATAATGTGATTAGAGTTTGTAAAGACACACTTTGTAGAACCTATGAGAACGTACAGGTTTAAATGATTGGTAAAAATGAAGTGTGCTTCTTTCCTCAGTGAACTGAATTAAGAGCAGGAGAACATGGCAGAGAGAGAAGGGCTTGTGACTGTGGGGAGGGGTAAACTGAGAACATGTTCGGAATGTGTTCAAGTGGAGGAAACGCTACCCAAGGCTAAAGCACACAGACTCACTCCTGTTGCCCTAGACAAGAGCCTGTCTCTTCAAACTAGTGGTACGTAATGTCTTAAAAGAAGCATATGGTGTTTCTAATAATTAAAAGTAGAGTTGTTCAGAGATTTGGCTTCCGTTATGCAAAAGCTTCTAAGGGATACATTATATTAAAACAAGGAATCCGTTTTATTAAAATATACATTGTAAAATAAGTAAAAGGGTTAGTTTCTCATTTCACAGATTGTATTCAGATACCTCAAGTATTTCACATTAATTTTTATTTCTAGCAGTGAATGAGAGAAAGGAGGAAGAAAAGGGGTGGGAGAGAGGAGAGGGAAGGACTACGAGAAGGCAGTGTAGAGCAAGCTGGGAAGAGGAGAGAGAGTGAAAAAAGAGAAAAAGAGACTGCAGGCAGGGCAGGGGGAAGATGTGACAGGTGGAGGCTAAGTTTTAGCACACAGAAACAAAAAGGCGAGACTTGATTTGATTCCTGACACCGTGGGGAGCAGCCTTGACTGTCCACAGTCCTTCCGAGGAAGGGCAGCATGCAGTTGAGCTGCTTACCTGATGGCAGCTAAGAAGACCACAGAAGATGAGGTCGCGGGTGACATGGACCTTCACAGGCACATCCTCCCGGTCCTACTTCCTTCTGTTAGCGCCCGCCTTCTGGTTCCCACCATCTGGTTATCGACTCAAGTAAGAATCCATGAAAGGATATCCACTGATCAGGCCATCACCTTCATGGCCAGTCACTTCCCAAAGCCCACCTCTAAACACTACCCTGGAGACCTAGTCTGTAGCACATGGGAGCCTTGAGGGGCGGGTAGTTAATAATCAAACTGTAAAAAGATACAGGATGAAGTGGAGGGAATGTGAATGGATGGTGAGTTAGGTAATGTGTGGTCGTTTTAATTTTCAGCTTTTCTATGTTAGTTTAGTGAGCTCTTTTCGCATATGAGGCAGACAGTCTTTCTTAGGGACTTAGATTTCCTGTCTCCTCCCCTCACTATAGTCTTTACTACATTCTTGATCAGATCACCCTTGAAACCTTCCCATGGCTATAAAAATATCATTCACTGATGGATGAAGTAACAGCATGGTATGGCTGTATTAGTCTCCCTACAGCTTGATTCTTCTTTAATACCTGAACGATTAAAAAAAAGTTGCCTTGTTTTCTAAGTATCTTCTACTGAGGTATCTTGAGACTGTCCCAAAACATAAACCATTCTGTCTCTGATACTGTCATGGTTACACAAAGCCATGAAGTCCCTAAACATATACACGGATTCTAATTTGTTACTTCATTTTGGAACAATTCCCTAAGGCAGTTATTTTCCGGCTCCTTTAAAAAACAATTGATGCAAACAGGGCACAGAAAAGTCAGCTATTTACTGCACATGATATTACTAGTTTACTATTTACTGCACATGA